AACATAATGTTATTTAAAGTAGAGTTAGTGATAGAGGAAGATTATCTTCTTATACATCATCTAGTAGATCTACCTGACCTTTCTTAATATTATTAATATCTTCCTCTTTACTAATATAGTCAGGCACATCTACTAGATTAGCATCATCTTCTTTATCTCTAATAGTACCTCCATCTTCATCATCCTCCTAAATGCCTGTAAATTCTTATTAATGTTTAAAATTTTCAGCACACATCTAGATCATTATTGCTTGGATTGTGCCTGGGAGAAGACAACTTTAATAGTAGTAATAGATATCTTAAGATGTATTAAAAAGATTTTCAACCCCTATACTACTAATAGGCATAGCTAAGAAGTCTCATGCTATTCTTAGACTGGCTGACCCAATCCGCAAATCCATATCCAACCCGCCCAATCCGCACTTTGGGTTGGATAGGGGTTGACCCTAATCTAATCCGCATGGATATGGATGGATGACATCTAACCCACATAGATATGGATAACCCATTAGGTGCATGTGATCTAGGGCCTTAAGGGACTGATAAGCTTATCTAACCTAATCTAGGCCTAGGTAGGGATATATTTTTATATATATAGATAGAGAATAGTCATATCTATCTATATATAAAATGAAAATAGTAGATTTACTAAGAGAAATTAGAGTTATGGTGGATTTTATATTTTAGATAATAATACTTAGGATAGTAGTAATAAGAAATATATATCTCCGCATGATTTTTCATCCTAACTTTAGGAAGCCCCTATACCCCCTAATTAAGCATATTTCAGCTTATAGGATAGGTAATATATAATATTTATATAATAAGTTATTATATTAATAAATAAAATATATAGATATCCTTAGACTGGTCGTGGGTTGGGTTTGGATGGATCCGCAGGGGGTTCAATCCAACCCACATGGGTTTTGGGTTGATCCACCACCTATCTAACCCACCCTCATATCCATGCGGGTTGGGTTGCGGATAACCATTCTACCCATATCATACACATGATTTAAGACTATACTACTTTTGGTAGGCGGAAAGACCTAAGAATCTAGACTATACTACTTTTAGTAGGTAGAAAGATCTCTCTTTGAGAGAATATCATGAATATCTATTATTCTGCCGGTCACGTGCACCCAATGGGTTATCCATATCCATATGGGTTGGATGCCATCCACCCATATCTATGTGGGTTGGATCAGGGTCGACCCCCATCCAACCCAAAGTGCGGATTGGGTGGGTTGGATATGGATTTGCGGATTGGGTCAGCCAGTCTAGATATCCTAGTGGTGTGGCTAGAATACTAGAAAAATAGGTGGTAATTAGAATACTAGGGGTCACCTGACTAGATATTATAGATATATCTATTATCTGCAATCCAACCTGCATGGATATGAGGGTGGGTTAGATAGGTGGTGGATCAACCTGTAACCCACATGGGTTGGATTGAACCCCTTGCGGATCCATCCAAACCCAATCCACGACCAGTCTATTTATAATTTTTTTAGTAAGGGTGGACTGACCCACTTTAGGTTACCTGAACTCCTCTGAAGGGTGGTGTCACCTGTAACCTGCTCGCTTACTGATTACGTTATAACTAGAGCTTTACTAATAGCCTCTAATAAACGCGGCAGGACATTTCGATGCCCAAGCTCTCTTATACCATTTAAAAATTTTTTAATGTACCTCAGCTCACCTCCTTGCAAAGTCTTAATGGTATATTTAACCTTCTTCATCTGTGTGATAGCTTAATAGAATCTTTAAAGGTGGACACAGCACACTTTGCTGCATTGCAAGCTCTAGATTGCATGAGAGCGTACTACAAGGTCAGCGACTATCATGGTTAGATAACTATTAGAATGGGCTAATAAGAATCAACTAGGTTGCATTAAAATGTTTTGTTGATGGAATTACTATTAAGGTTATAGAGACTGCACTAGTCCAGGCCCTCATTAAGATTTTTTTTACTGGTTGAAGTGTACAACATGCCCAGTTCTCTTGTAACGCGAATTGCAGGAGAGTTGAAAGAGAGCCATGATGTGTGAGAACAGCTCCAGCACGAAACCTATAGTGAACCTGTACTAGAGCCTTAAAGCAGTTCTGATTTATGAGACTACTTATAGTAGGTAGAACAGTCAAGCTTTCTGGCACCATGTAGTGCTTTTATACTTTCCATCTCACCCTGTAATCTTGGGTTGGCTGCCAGATACTGCACTATCCCGCATACTCCAAGGTTGAGCACTAGTGCCAACTCTGATTAACGAAATGATCTCGTGGCGTGGTAATACATAGCACAGTTGAGCAATTGAAGGCAAGTCTCTCTAGTTCGATTCAAGCCCTCCAAATTCAGGCAAATTCACTTATGCTCGGTTTCTGTAGTCTTCTCTCGCCATGTTTGTTGGTCCACTCTCTGGCTCTCCCGAGTATATAGATATTCCGGATGAGAAGTACCAGACCCCTGTCATTATCAATTCAAATCATCCATGAACGTCTAGCTGTGACTATCTTAATGGAGAGGCTTTTAATAGGCTTAATGAGATAGATTTCAAGGCCTATAGGCTGCAGGCCTTGCATCTGAGATAGCTAGATCACTCAGGAATGTTACGGTGCAAACTGTAAGTGACTGATCAGCAGGGATCGGATTCGAATTGAGAAAAGGTGAAGTTTCCGTGTCAGGAATGGAGGCATGCGGGACCCTGGACGGCAACAGCGGTAGTCAATCCCCTAGATTGCTGTCTAGCAAATCTAGCTAATATGCAAAGCACTGAGCACAGCTCCAAGATCCTTGATCATATGGGACAGTCAGGACTCAGGAGTCCTGGTGGTTCAGAGACCCTAGTAGCTGCTAGGTGCCAGGGGGGTAACGGAGCCGAGGATCAGACATGGTGAATGCGCGGCGATATTACTGCGGATGTTGGCAGCAGCTACTACGGACGAGGATTCTCAGAATAGTCTACTCTCACACGGTCTTACCAGGGGTGGAGAGTCAGTGCTCACTAATCCATAAGGTAGTAGATATTAATAATCAAGGACGTAGTATTAAACTAAGAGGTCAAAAGTATCCGGACACTCTAAAAAATCGAAAAATTCGACCATTTTCAATCCCATATTTCTCAACCACCATACTATTCTAGTACATAAGAACAAACTAGGGGATAGTAGATATTAATATTTAGTATACCATCCCTTTGCCTGGTAAACTGCACGTAATCTACATGGCATTAAGCGAATTAGACTGTTAATCTTCTCCTGAGGGATAGCATCCCATGCCTCTATAATAGCCTTGCGAAATCATGTCCAATCTACCTTAGATCTGCCTCCTAAGAAGAGTCCAGGATAGAGCTCTAAAAGCTTCTTCTTTAGGAGGTTCCAGAGGTGTTCAATTGGGTTTAAATCAGGCGAATGCGGAGGCCATTCCATGACCCAGATTCCATGAGATTCAAACCACTCCTGTGCCTGGTAAGATGTATAGATTTTGGCGTTATCTTACTAGAATATTATGCCAGCCTTATAGATTGGAAGAAGGCCATCTTCAAGGCATTTTAGATAAGAATCAGTGGAATATCCACCTTAAGGAGCTAATTCATCACATTCCATAATCACCAGCTTTGTACAGCCTCTAATCCAGATTACACCCTATATCATCTATGAAATATCCTTCCTATGGTTTATTAGATTAACTAGATCATGCCAGTATACTTCATTCGAGAATTAGAAGACAAATTAGGTAGAATTATTTAGCTTTCTTTGGACAGAACATTCATCAGAAAACAGTACTTCCTCCCAGTGAGGGAAATTAAGCCATGTACACGTAAATTTATACCATTTCTTAACTGTTTCGCGCTTTAAAGGGATCCTTTTCTTACTCTTCCACTTCTTAAGGTGATATTTCCTCAAAATACATTGAATAGTTGACTTGGAGACGCCCCCAGGTGAGTATGCAATTAAGGCCTTCCAGCTTATAGAGGGGCTCCAGCGGACCATCTAGTAGATATAACACTTAGCAGAGGGGCTAAGCTTTTAGGGTCTCCCCATTTAAGGCATTGATTTCAAGGATTTATGGTGTTGGAAGCGTTCCTTAGTTGCATAAATAGTACTGTGACTAACGCCAAATTCCTTCGCTAGTTGAGTAGGCAATCCCTGGTTCTCTAGGCCATATAAAATAGCTGCGCGTGTCTCACTAGAAAGCTCAGCTTTAGGCCTTCTATTTCCGCTAATTTCGGTGCCAAACGACCTCATTTTGATGGAATGGTTGGTGGTTAAAAGAATTGTTGATTTTTTGACGCGTCGCGGAAATGCGGAGTGTCCGGATACTTTTGACCCCCTATGTAGTTTATACCGTAGTATTCGTTCGTTGCGGGCTATGATTCTTTGAACTGAGTCAGACATGACTTGAGCCTATCTTGCTGGCACAATGGCAGCGGCGCAAGGCGGAAATAATAGGCAGAATCATGAAGAATGGGTGCATAGCATGTTGATGACAGGTGGACCCACCGGCTGGAACTGAACTATGGCAAAGTCCATTCAATCAACTGGATCCAATCAACTAGTGAGGGCTCCAGCCCAGTAGGCTCCAGTTATCGGACTACTTTCCTTACCGTTGGACCATGTTTTGGGCGAGGTTGTCACGCGCTCACTCCCGCTAAAAGCAGTGTCGGCACCCCTGTTGATTGCGAAGTTGCATTCTATAGGTCTGTGTGAACAGACCAGGATGTTGGAAACCCTCCGTCTATAAAGAACAAGGTCCCAGAAGTTGAGAACTGGAATTCAAGATGTAACTCGGGATGTGATTCCCCGCATCTAGATGAACTACGACAAACTCGGCGTTGTTTTGAGCTGGCCGAGTCGGACCCTCTCTACCTCCGCGGTCGACAATTCCAAGAACATTGGGGAGCTTCCGAGGCGAGCTCCCTCAACCTGGAGGAACTACTCTCCGGGTGGAGCAATTTCCCCGCTCATTTTTATATAATCCCTGTCAATCACTATCAGTAGATATCAAAAGAAGCGGAATATCGAGAGCCGAGCACCCTTAGCAAATTTAGGGTGGAGCAGAATTCCCCTTCCACGCTGTTTAACGAGCTTCGTGCTTAACTGCTCTCCCCCATGAAGCAGGGTCCTGATGCAGCGCCTCTGCTGGCACTTCGCCATCGCGGTCATGCTGGGTGGGCTATCTTTTGGAAGAATAGCGGAAGCATTCTCCTCTAGCGTCACCGTTCCAACTCTGCTGAACTACTTTTCCTGCGCTGCAGGCTGGGGTCCGGTGTCTTGTAGGTGGTTCTGCATCTTATTTAAAACTTGTGTCTTTGCCATTTTTTCACCCATTGATCCATTCCCCCGACGCCACAAACTTTTTTCTTTGACCTGGTGATAGAACCATTCCCAGACCCCAATATGGATTAGCATGTTGGAAACAGTAACTTTATTTTGCTGGGATGATCCTATGCTGAGCATTCGCATCCACATTGCGCCATCCGACCACTCACTGCTATCTGAACGGCCCTCCTGCAGCGACTGTAGGATGCTCCGACAGGCGGCCTCCGGGGGCCTGCCCACACAATTACAGAGCTTGTAGATGGTCTTGATAAGTGAAAGGATTAGTTCCTTGAAGGCAGCCTCTGAGGCGGGTGAGCTGGATGCATTTGCAATCTCTGGTGCCCTTTGCACCTCTTCTGTCTGGAGTAAAAATCTTTCGCCTCCAAGCTTACCTGAAGTGACTTTATCGGGCTTCGCCATTGCAGTTGATGGTGAGCTTTGTCCTGGGCTCGATGCAGGTATTTCTTGAGGAGTTAAAGTTACACTGCCACTAGAGGCTGACATGGCTCTAAATGGCTCAGTGGCTACATTCATATTTTCAAGCAATGTAGACTCCTGGTGAACAGCCTTTCTACCGTCCTGGGTATTATTCTGAAGGGAATTATGGTAGCTGGCTAGTGCCCACTGTATAATATGTATCTGATTACCTTCATTAAGCAGTTCCTCATCCCCTTGGCCTTGTTCCTTCGCATGTGAAGTGGCTTTCTTCTGCACTGGGTCCAAGTCAGGCTGATGGTTGCTTCCATCTGCTGTTCCTGAGCAGCAATTCTTGCGCTTAGCAACTTTTGATGGCTGATATGAAGGGTCGATCCCCAGGCTCCTCTTCTGTTTTAAGGGATAGGGAGCCTCTCTTAAATTTAGACCCTGCATTTTTAAGGGACTGATTATCTACTCTTGAATTGTTCCTGCAATAGCTTGAGCAACATGAGGGGCTTCCTTGCAAAGCAGCTGCATAATCCTATTAAACTAATATGGTTTGTCAGTAGCATCCTTTTCAAAAAAATAGCAGTACTCTACCTCTGGCGCATCTTGAAGATTGATAGCTGCATAAGTAACAATCTTAAGGATAAAGAGCCTTAACAGTTCTATCACCTCGTCCACAGTTGTCGCCAGCTTTTTGTTAGGATGGATGCTATTAGACAGCATTTCAGGTCTATAAGACAGAGTGACACGGAAACCTACAGGACAGGATATACACAACGGCAGTGGACTGATAACAACAAAGGGAATAGTGAGTGGGGGAGTGGTCAGAGTATATATAGCCACTTGGGCGCCAGTATCTTGATATCCTGGGTGATCCAAATGTGTTTCCGTTTGGACCCCTGCAATACGCTAACCAAGAATGGCAAGACCCTTCCTGCCCGTCAAAAAAAGTATTTCGGCAGCAAAGTATGCAGGGGTAAGAGTAACCTTGCCTGTTGTGGGAAAGGTGCTATGGTTTGGCTTACTAGTCCTTTGTCTGGTAGAAGACCTATCTATAGAAACATGATTCATGATCCGGAGAGTGCTCTGTAAAGAGAGGACAGTCTATTGGCATCTTCTGCGGCACATTACGGATGGACCAGGAAGGATTTGTCATTTGAGTGGCACACTGCTAGTCAGTGTTTGTCAGGATCAGCGTTTGTTAGGATCGTTGTCGAATGTAACTTCTCGCCCAACCTACAGCGCTCCATTCCATATAACCCACTCGTTCAGCGGGAATATTGACTCAACAGCAGGAGTGCCACGCTGTCCCCTCAGCAGCTGCAGACTCGCTCCAAATGCTACGTGAATGAATGAATACATATGGCATCACTGCAGTCAACTCAACGTCTAACAGCTATAAGTGAGGTGCCGCGGCGATAATCTTCAAGTCTTGCGCATTCTCTGTGCATGATCATCCAAAATCTTCTCCCATTTATCAGAACCCATGAGAAGGGCATTAGGCAGCAGTCTCTCGTCACGCTAGTCAAAGAACCGTCAGTAATGATTCGACTTAAACAGAATACAACATGTTACCTTGACGCTCGGTGCATCCTGTTCATCGCCATCATACTACAGCGAGGAAAAAGTCAGCACAATCATACCAAATACCGGGAAGCCTCACATCATTAAAGTGCTCGCTGATCCGCATTCTCAAAAAGCACTTAAACGGCATCGTATCCTGAAGAATAAAGTCATAGAACTCCTTAGCCCGCGGACCCATGTCCGGCTCCAGGGCAGCGGTGAGCTCGTCCCGGATGATCGTCCATCCATCGTGGCGGTCCAGACCGAGCGCGTAGACCAGATTCCCCAGGTGGTTCTGGAAGAGGGCATGGTGAATCTTGCTCCAGATGTTCTCCAGATTTCTCGTGCAGCCTGGAGAGGTCATACACAGCTCTATGCCGAGTTTCTCAAGCGTGGGGACATGCACCTTGATGCCCTCGAAGTCTCGGACGACGAAGCCGGTGATTCTTTTGGTCTGGCGACACACGCGAACCAGGGTGTTTTGCCCATGGGCCTCCATCCCGATGCCATACTGCACCAGCGAAGGGAGGACAGCGCGCAAAAAGCCCGCCACATACCTTGACGGATATTAGTCTCCTTTCTCTATTGCACTTTAGGGGGAAATGTTTACTCTCTGAGCCACTCATGCTTCTGCTCAACAGTCTCAAGACCAAAGACAATCTCCGCGTGTGTCCGGGGATGATTCGTGGGCTGCTGAGCCAGCGACCCCGCGATGATCAGCGCCTCATTGTTCGCGTTCGCTAGAGCCTCCAAGTCCTCACGCAGAATACAGCCGATATGACGCGCTTTGTCTTCGTTTTCTTGCGTGTCTCCCTGCGCCGTCTGGCTCCCCGACACAGACGCAACCTCTTTGAACCACCACAGATCCGGCGGGAAGAATTTGTGCAGCTGCTTCCTAACCAGCTGGCCGCCGAGGGTCTGGCAGGGGCGGATCGCCCGCACATCCGAAGTGATCTGGCAGGCAATGGACATTTTGATGTGGTAGGGGAAGTTGAGTTCTGGACGCAGGGTGAGGGTGCGCATCGAGGCTTGCGTGTCTGCACAGCCGGTAACTGTCTTCACCACGACGGCACTGGGGAAGTGGCGGAAGACACAGGGGAGTTGGAGACGGAGGCAGGGGACAATGACTCTGTCAGCGCTCTCGGGAGGGGGACCTCCAGCTGCGCCAGAAGAGGCTGCAGCGACTCCTCGAATGGGCCTGCGAAGGAGACCTCTGCCCGTAGGACGGACACGAAGGCCAGTGTGGGCGTGAGGAACTCGGGCAGGTCTTTGGGTTCAACTAGAGCTAGGCCTTCTTGTGCATAGCACAGTCTGTGAAACTGGTGACGATTAGACACACTGACCGACATCAAAGAGGGGAGACTACATACCGGATGCGTCGGGTGTCCCCAGATCAGCGCCCGTTCCCACATGACCGACGGCGTGTTGAGGTGTAATGGCTCAGGCGAGGAGTGCAATTCCAGCCACTTTTCTGCGCATTTTATCAGCATCACTTGGGAGAGGGAGACAGGAGATTCTGTGCAAACCTGTATTGGCCTCACTATTCTCCAACCCCAACGCTATCTCTTCCAACGTTGTCGCCTCGACATGCTCCGTGAACAGGCTACTTGCAAACCGAAACAGAGCCCCCGAACGAAGCTCCCGCCCTTCAGACGGCCCATCTACGAGAGTAACGGGCATTTGCAACATCTCCGGGCGCACCAGCGACACGATGCGCCCAGAGCGCATGAAGATTCCCGCCCCGCTGGGCTGGAGTCGGACACGGATGCATTTTTCTGGCTTCTCTGTGACGCAGCCGTTGCTGAACAGACACAGGTACGGGCCTTCGGACTCGAATGTCTCTAATGTCCCGCTGACCAGACCTTCGTTCAGAATCTGACAGAGAACGCGTTTGGCTACCTCGAACGAGGCTCGTTCGCGTACTGGCGGCACAGTCATTTCCAGTCAGATGCCGCTGTGGCTGTCAGGGGATTTGCGGATGCTCTATGAAGATTGAGAACCTGGATGACCTGACGAGGTGTGCCCCGGCTTCTATGAGCTCTAGTTGAAGTTAACTGACACTGTAGTTTGCTCCTAAATCCCAAGCGGCACCTGCATGGCTCATACGAGACCGCCGGGCTGCCCGAATCCACGCGATTTTGTGACTGGGGCTTGCAGGAACACCCATAGTTCCTTTTGGCAGATGGACTAAATTTCCCAGATCTACAGGTCTTAGCCCAGTCCTGTGCCATGGAAGGGAACACGGGACGGTGGCGATGCTGATCACATCCAAACATAGGTAAATGACAACTAGTAAATTGCAAATTGAAAAATTTCTACTGTTTCGTAAGGCAGAGGCGGACGCAATACAGAGAGTGTATCCTATTCCTGCCCCTCCTATGTCGTGCCTATTCCCTCCAGCTATTCTCTCCAGCGATCCTTGGTGATCTTCACCTTGACCACGCCCTGGATGATCGGCGCAAACTGGTCAATGATCTCCATATCCGCCGCTGTCGTCTCGTACAGCTCCATCTCCAGCCGGGAAAAAACCACAGCGAGGGACGTATACAGCATCATATACGCCAAACTAAACACCCTGATTAGCTTAAAAGCTCACCAGGGATTTCAAGAAATACATACTTTTTGCCGATGCATTGCCTTCTCCCCTTACTAAATGCAATCGCCCACTTCTCCAGATCGTGGCCGTTATCACCCAGCCAGCGCTCGGGGATGAATTCGTGCGGGTTCGGGAATATTTCTTCGTTCAGTTCGACAACAGGATGGATCATCGATATCTGAGTCTATTCGATCGACCTCATATCAGATTTTCGTCCTCCATTAACGGAATATATCTTACTTACCCCACCGGGAATGTGGTAACCGCCGATACCCACTCCACCCTCGGGAACGATCCTAGGAAGGAAGCCCGGCACGGTATTACTCAACCGGAGAGACTCCTTCACCACTGCCGTCTGGAAGAATTCAGATTGTGATTGAGAAAATGATCCGGCCAAGGGAACATACCAGATAAGGCAACGCCATGATCCTGCGATGGTCGAATTCCTCGCGAATGAAGGGGCTCGCCTCCCGCAGCTCTGCCTCCAGCTTCGCCTTCACATCGGGCTTGTTGAGCAGGAAGTATGTCCCGAAAGAGAGCACGTAGCTGGTCGCCTCCATGCCGGCCACGAGGTAATTCAGGATATCGTCGAAGAGTTGGTCCGGGCGGAGCGGCTCGCCGGTCTTGCGTTTCGCTTCAATCATCAGGTCGAAGTAGGTACTGCGGCTTTCGACGGGCTTTCCCGCATCGTGTACGGCGATGCACTCGTCTAGCCATTGTTTAAAGAGCTGGAAAAGTCAGATGGTAGTTAACTCAGCGACATGGCGGAGACCGACCTCCTGTAAGTTCCTTAGTCCTGGTTGAAGTCTCTCCACCACAAAGGTAGGAAAGGAATCAATAACCCAGTTCAAGATAGGGTAGTAGAATCCTGAGTGTTGGAGTCAGCGGCCTCTCCGTGGCAGAGGAATTGCTAGCTTACTCGGCCAGGTTATGGCAGTAAACCGGTCAATGCTCAACATGAATGTGTGGTATTGATCCGCATCCTGGGGTGAGTCGATCAAACCCAACGGCCGATTGAACAGCAGATACGATACCATATCTGCCTGTGAGGATCCAGCTGGTCAGCAGGATTTCAGTCCAAGCCAGGGATGCGCTATCTTACCGCGACTGACCGGTAGACGCGTTGGATGACGGAAGGGTTGCCATCTCTTCCTTGACGCGCCATCGACTCGGCCGACTTGTTCAACAACGCCGCTATCATCGGGGCAAGGTCATCGGCCTTTTTCCGGGAGAACAAGGAACCGACGATGCTGCGGTACTGCTTGTGCTCCTCGGGATCGGTGATGGTAAGGATCGATCCATCGATGCCGAGCAACTTGTAGACGCCAGGGTCTTTGCAGTAGTCGGTGCCTGAGTTGTAGATTCTAGGCTTGGTCAATCGATGTCCTGATATTAGGGTTGAAGGATGGGCCTATACGTATGATAGTAGTTGGGATCACCCACGTGGACCCGATTGGTCCCAATCCGGATGACTGGGGAATCTGATATGGTTAGCGAGAGTCACAATGTCCGGGCTAAACACTAACTGTATGTCCTGTGCAATTGAATGGCACGCTTGGACAATCCTTGCCGCAGAATGTTATAGTAAGCTTCGTACAGATGAGTTGCCGCCGCCAGACGAGGCCCGGGAATGCCGCTCAATGGGTGGAAGTAGATCCGTCTGGTGTACTTGTAGAAGAGATAGAAAAGCAATGCTGCGAGAAGGAGTCCGGGTGCTCGATTTGACAAGGTTTGGCAAGTATCTACGCTGATGATGCGGTGGGCAGAAATGGCCCAAGTGGTGTTGGGTTGTGCCATCCTAACTTTTCGGTCACAGGAAGCACCAAGAGAGTTGTTCTAGATGAACTACCTCGGCTGCTTCAGAGGGCAATTTCATATCCAAGGCCACTGGATATTGCATAATGCAAAATTTACTTGCTATGACATGACATATGGAGTACGGAGTACCGGACAGGCCATTCTGTCCCACTCCGAGGGGCAGCGATCGATCAGCTCCTGATCTGTATCTACCAAGACCATGATTGTTTAGCTCTGACAGACATGGATATGATCTTCATTGTACAAGGAAGGAGTTGTCTGTGCCAGTCGTCATCTTTACCCAAGATGGTCCTGTGGGGATACACTGCAGCTCACTGACTCGTCTAGCGTGAACGAACTATTGTATTTGTATCTGTTACTACTGCCCGAATACCACACTAGAGTGTTTGTATTTGTAGATGTATTTTACCGCAGCACGTCGTCTCGCAAGGTACCACCATCATGCACAGCCTAGAAAGTAAGCACCGGGGTCAACCAGAGAAGAACCCGGATCCTGCATGAGCCATTGCCCTCACCGGTACTTTTGCCTTGAGCTTGATTGGCTTTCGATTGTGCATCAGAATGACCTACGTAAGAAACCTGTGGTCAGCTATCAGACGACAAAGTTGGATCAGTAGGACACAGTGCAATATGCTGAGTCGAGGTCCTTCCAGTACAGAATATAGTTAACCTCGGGGGCAATAGAGAAATCAATACAAATAAACTCGAGAATATGTAATATACAATCATCTCCCTCTGGCAATCATTTTCTTCAGCATGACTCTCTCTCTTGATCCTGCTCGACCATCTCCCGAAAGATCCCATTCTCCCTTTCCATCAGCCCCAGCGGACTCCCAAACTCAACCGCCCTGCCAGCATCCAGCACCAGGATCCGATCAAAATCAGCCACCGTTTCCAGCCTATTCGCAACGACCAGCAACGTGGTAGAGCCGCCCCAAAGACAGTCCGGAGGCACTGCTGGATCAGTCGATCACTCTGCTTGTCCACCGCCGACGTCGCCTCATCCAGCACCAAGACCTTGGGTCGCCAGACGATCTCCCGCGCGATACAGAGCAGCTGGCGCTGGCCCTGCGAGAGGTTGCTCCCCCCGGCCGCCACCGCGCGATCCAGAGGCGAACACTCACCGGATGCGTCCGGAGCGTCAAGCGTCCACCGGACACTTTCCAGCGCATAAAGGAGCTCGCTCTCCTCGTGCTCCTCGAACGGGTCCAGATTCGACCGGATCGTCCCGCGGAAGATCGCCGGATCCTGCGGAATAACCGCAATTCTGCCGCGGAGCATCTGCAGCTTCAGCTGCGAGATATCAATGCCATCCACGAAGATCTGACCCTGTGCCGCTTCAAGGATCCGAAACAGCGCCAAAACAAGCGAGGACTTGCCGGCGCCCGTGCGCCCTACCACAGCCACGCGCTCGCCCTCCTCCACCCGGAAAGTGATGCCCTGTAGCACGGAAGGTAGATGCGGCGCGTGTCGCACGGCCAGATCGGAGACCTCGATACGACCCCGGGTGGGCCAGACGGCGGGCGCATCGCGCCCTTCGTACCGCTCCGTCTCGAGCCGCGCGTACCCGCGCACCCGCTCCACGCTATTCATATCCTGTTCGAGGAAGGCGTAGTAGCGGATGACCAGCCCAATCGAGGCGGAGATTTGCATGGTGAAGCTGAGCGCGAACCCGGCGGTGCCGGCATCGACGTCGCGCAGCGAGACAATCAACGCGGCGGAGGCGGCGGAGAATCCCGCGCCGATCATGTTGATGCGGAAACCCAGCCAGCGGTTGAGCAGGCGGAGAGAGAAGTATGCCCGGCTGTGATCGTCGACCTTGTCGAGGAATGACTGGCGGTAGGCATCGACGCGGCCGAAGGCACGGATGACGGGGAGTCCGGCCAGACAGGCATCGAAGTGTCCGTAGATGGGGCCTTTAGCGGCGCTCGTGAGGCGATTAAGCATGCGAGATGCGCGCAAGGAGGTGTGTGCGAAGCGGTGATACAGAAGCACCAGGGCAGCTGCGACGAGTAGGACGAGGGGGCTCACAAGGGACCCTGCCGCAAGGGCCATGGCGACATCGGCGACGCGGTCGAGGGTGTTGCGCAGGTCCCTTACCAACCGGGAATCGATCACGGTCACATCGGAGGAGAACCGGGCCAGAATGCGGCCAGAGGGGACGGCAGCGTGCCATTGCAGCGGAGCGCGGAGGATTGTATGGAGCATCTGATTGAACAGGCGCTGGGAAGCTCGAAAGGCAACGCAGATGATGAGATAGCAGCGGGCGATTCCAACCATGCCAGTGATGAGGGATAGTCCAATGTAGATGGCAAGATAATACTGGAGATGATCGGGGTCTGGTGTGCTGGCATTTCGAGTGGTCCAGAGCTTGATGCACCAGGCATGTGGAAGATCAGCCAGAGCGAATTAAACATTGGGGGGAAAAAAAAGAAAAATAAAGAAAGCTTATGGCTCACCCGACCCAGCAAGAGTCCGCTATAACCGACAAAGGACACGATCACCAGAACCCAGAAGTATGGTGAACCTCCTTGCGTCGCGTACGCCCGAAGTGCGTCCCAGCTCAACCCTGCAGTTTCCTCGTCATCTCTACTAGGAGCCTGAATATGTTCTATCTGAGGCTCACATTCCTGCAGGCCCTCATTATCAACGGTCGTCACAGGGTGCATCTTGCCCAATTGCTCCCGTCGAGCATCCTCCACCGACATCGCAACCGCAGTGCCATTGCCCACAGTCACCAGGTATTCCGCCGAGGACAGGCAGACATCGACATGATGCGTCACCAGAATCAGGGTCCTCCCGCGGGCGATCTCTCCCATCAGCGCATGACGATGCAGGTGGGCCAGCGTATGCACATCCACGGCGCTGAATAAATCGTCTAGAAGCAGGGTCTGTGCGGGACTGTACAATGCCCGCGCCAGGCTCACCCGCCATCTCTGCCCACCGCTCAGATTGACGCCGTCAGTCCCAATCCCCGTCAGGTCTCCGGCAGGTAACTGCTCCAGATCCTTTCCCAGGGCGCAGGCAAACAGGACCAGCGCGTACCGGTCCGGACTGAAGGGAGTTCCAAACAGAATGTTGTCTCTGATTCAATCCACGGAACCTGAGGAACGTATGCTATCCCGCCTCGCGAGCATTGACCGGGCTCAGACTGGATGCAAAGCGGAGTAGGAGCGCTAATTGTACCAGCGACTAGATAGGATTCTCCAAGGATGGCGGGCAGGAGGAAGCTCTTCCCCGTCCCCGTGGCGCCGGTGATGATGCTCAATGCACCCCTGGGGAATTTCAGATTCACGCCGCTAAGGGACGCCGGGGACGACGGCCAAGCCAGTGTCGCGTCCCTTAATTCAATCACCTCGGACGGCACCACGCTCGACACGTGGTCTGGCTCCGCGAAGAAGCGGCTGAGGCGCTGCATACTCACAAACGCGCTGGCCAAGTTTGAGATGATATCTGGCAGCACGCTCAGCGACATCTCAATAGAATTCAGCACAGTAATCGCTGTGAAGGCAGTGGTCGCAGTCAGATCACGGTTTCTCAGCAGTGCCACCCCCAGAGCCGCCACGGAGAGCAGAATCGGACTCAGAAAGTACAGAGAGAACATGAAGGTCTGCCACAGATACGCAGACCATTGTGCGCGCATCTCTTGGCCGCGCAGGTCACCGACTCGCCCTTCCCACCGGTCCTCAAGGGCGGCGAACTTGACATGCTGGATGCCCCGTAGCACCTCCGTGACGAGAGTCAATCTCTGGTCGCGGGACTGGTGCAGATTGCGCTGACCCTGAGAATATCTCTTGACAGTGTACGAGTTTCCGCAGCTTATGAGAACGAGGACGATCCCACAGGCCAGCAGGCCTTCCCAACCCAAGAGAGTCCACAGGAATACGGATGCCACAAGCAGCTTTGCCGGCGTTTCGTAGAGCTGAAAGGTCAGGCAGACGAAGTCAGCGACGGTCTTCGCATCCACCGCCGCCAGGCTGATAGGATTCAGCGGGCCCTCGAGATTATTTCCCTTCGCTCTGCCTGTCTTCGACGCGCATGCCGCGCCCACATTCCGGCGGACGGCCTTGTCGAAGAGGGCTACTGTCAGCCGCTGCTGCACGCGGATGGAAAGCTTGCCGTACGAGATCCAGTACTTCAAGCTATCCAGGATGGCTGTTGCCATGGTCGAGGTACAGATAAGGACGAGGAAGGTGTATAAGCGGGCCTCGTCTCTTTCGCCCTGCCGGCTTTTCTCTAGCGTCGAGAGAACCCTCATCACGGCGAACTGGGGCACGAATCCCAGGAGGGATGAGCTCAGCGTGATGATCCCCTGCCAGGACAGAAGACCAAGCTCGGACTGTAGAATCACCACCCATAGCCCTTGAGCGCCGGAAGTTCCACCGCTCATCATCTGAAAGCATGTGCGGAGTGCACTCTCAGCCCGCAAGCTGTAGCCGAACTGGGGCAAGTTGCTGATCCGCACTGTGCAAGTTTTCAGCCATGGTGCTATCCAGCTGAAGCTCAGCCATCCCAGAAAGGAGGTCGAGTATTCTCGATCCACAGGAGTCCCGTGGTGAAATACATCGGGCCGACGCGGGACCAGGAGATTCGAGACAGTTGCGCAGAAACTCGCAGCAATTTGAAGCCCGATGAGGAGGCTTTCCAGCGTCACATGTTCATTTGCATCGTAAAGATCATTCAGCTGCACCAAGAGGACAATGACCACCACCGCGCAACTAAGCGCAGCGCTCAATGCAATTGAGTAAGGTACAGGAGCCGGGAGACGGAGAAACAGAGCTCTACACTGCAGGCCCAGAAATGCCTGTTGATTTGACTCTATCAGTTGTAGATTTGACTCTATTGCTTATCCGATACAAATGTCAACTCACCCAGATAACAGTTTGCAACAAGTCTGTCACCGGCATACCACGTCGTTGAAGTCCCAGAGACAGTGCAATCTTCGCGATGGAGAAGGCGCCACCGAGTCCAACACATGTCCCCGTCAGCCCGGTGGATATTCCACGCTGAGGCTGAGGCTTTTTTTATAGAATCGGCCGTCGCCTCTCCGTCTTGGTCCGCGTAGAACTCGGTCAGTAGACGCATTGTTTTACGCCTGCTGCGCCATATTATCAGGATCAGATACCTGTCTGTCTGCGTATGCTCCCAGCAAGATGATGGCAAGTAGTCCCACTGCGCTCAGCCGCGCGACAGACACATTTTGCGTCGGGAACAGAACAGTGCTATCTCGCTGACCAGACAAGGGTTCCTGAAGCCCAGGTAGGATCTGAGGAGTGGACTCCATTAGCAAGTCCCCGTAGAGCTTGAACTTCCAAGGTAGAGCAACTTGGTAGCAACTACAAAAGAACCATAGCGGTCAAGCAAAGTCTGTTAATCTTTGCAGATTGAGTAGGGCCCAATCGATGTTTCAAAGGAGTAGACTGGTGGAAATCACAGTCTTTGGATTACTGGAATTCTACCAAGTTACGGATACTGAGATTCACATATGGGCTTGTGCTGTGATCCAGCTAGGGAGCTATCCGCCTTGCGAGATTTTTTCGAGCTATCGAATGAAGACAGACGCGAGAACAGGGGAAGAGTCCAACGAACATGTCAGTAGGCTGCCGCCAGTCCATTAGATGTGGACCGAAGATCTTTCCACGTAGACATATGACGAAAGAAAGAAGGCAGGATGCGAACATCTTGGATTAGAGACAATATACTCTACATGGAGTATTATTCGACGATCGGCGAACCGCGTATGGAGTAACTATTGACGTGTCCTCCGTATTTCTGGGCATTACAGTGGTTCGTTCCAAGTTCCAGCATGAATCTCCACTTGGGCAAAGTCAATTCATGCCTCTGTATGTATGTATCATCACTTTGTTGTCCACTGCGCAACCTGTCAGATCTCGCACAGACTACGTATCGGCTCTGTCTGCAGCTTGACGATAGTCTAACCCAAGGACCGTGGCTGGCTGATCCCAGTAACACGGTGTGATATTCCGGCGCCCAATTCGTCGGTCAGCCCTGTGGGCCTCGAGAAATCTGCATGAACGGATCGGGGAAGTTGGGAACATCACATCCCAAGTCCTTGCAGCTTGCAGATCGGCTCATTTATGGTCTGGGCCGCAGTTACCATGAGATCTGGCCAAACTTCAGTTCATCCGGCAAGCTGGGTTCACAGTCCGGACCTCGTATTCGTTCCTTGGCATAGAGGATCATCTTACCCCTTGCCTAAGAGAGGAACGATGTGCAGGCAAGTACCAGATGGTGTTATAACCGTATGGTTACTTTGAAAGATACGCGACGCTTTGTGCAAGTCAAAAAAACCTATTGAAAATTCCGCTGCATACTCCGTATTACTCCAAGATAAGGCATCCACTCTAAGCTCCCAGCCCCACCTCGGCAAACAAATCCTTGAGCACTTCAGCCAGGTAAGATCCATACAACCCCTCAACCACATCGAATGCGTCCAGCTTGACCGTCTCAGGGCGCCATTGGTGTCGATCCTGATCCTGAGCTCGGACAAGTTGCTGCTTCTGCGTCCCCTCGGCAGCCAGTCCTTGACACAGTCGCAACAGAAATGGCTCAGGAGACGGGTCATCCAGGTAGAGATTCGACCCTGTCTCGTTGCTGTTGATAAATATACGTCGACACAGATAAACCTCGAGTAAATGAGGGGCAGCCGCAGACGCTGGCAGCGATGCCCGCAGCTTCTTCAGCAGTTTCTGGCTTCGCGAGTAGATCCGGCGCTCGAACGCATCATCGACGCTGATCAGTAATTTTGTTGCTGCGTCGCCATTGCCACTTTCTACGGCGTATTGGGTTTCTTCCAAAGCCGGCCTCAGTACCTGGTACACGTAGAAAAGATAGCTCAGTTCCCGGAAGTCGGTCACCCGCTCGTTCTTCGGGACCAGCGCGTAGAAACGGGCCCAGGTAGCGCCTTCCGTCTCTAGAACGCGCAGGATATCATCCACGCCGGGGAGGACGCTATTGGCCAAGGAGTCACAGATCAGCTGGCATACCAGGTCCGCTAAAGGCGAGACCTGGATGTCCAGACTCCGACAGTGAGGAGTCCCACCCCACCGCCGGGATAGTTCGTGGTCGACGAGGCGGCAGAACACCCGCGACAGCTGGTGGTGGCGCTTCTCGACGGCGTGCATCCATTGCAGTGCCTCGGGGAAGGTGCAGCATCCGTCGCGGAGACGCTCCTCGAGGGAGTGGTAGTAGTGGAAGCTGGGAATGTCGAGGCGGATTCTCAGTGGCGTTGGCTGGTATTGATTATTTGCGGATAGTGCCGCAGCCAGGTCGGCGATGACGGGGACCGCGCGAGCGAGGTATTCAACCTCGTATAGGGTGACTTTGGCAGATTGGAGTCTTGATATGTCGAGCCGTTGACCCCGTGGCATACTCGACTGGATGATCCTTGATGCCCAGAGGCACATACCCGAGATAACGGTGATATCTTGCACGAGATCCATAGGTTGCGTCCTTCCTTCTGCCCCAGGAATAATCTGCGCCAGTGGAGTTGAGAAATGCAGGTAATGTGTGGCTGTGGGATGATTCCTTTCGGGCCTGAGGGACTTGTGATTGAATTGAGTCTTTTCGAACCAGGTAATTCCCTCGATTAGGCGCGCGTGCCCTTCACAGGGTGATCCTCCGACCAATCCGCTGCCAGACACCCTCAACGGGACTGGGTGAGTAGATTTGCCATGGTTAATGAGGTTGGCGACCTTGACGGCCACCTTGCGGCCTTTGATGAATGCCTTGGTATATTTGGTTCCGTCACGGGGCTCATCGCTGTTGTTGTGTTCATCCACCGTATGAGGGAGATGGTAATATCCCCGGATCGCAGACGAGATCTTTTGTGTGCAGTGTTCGATATTGTGAAAGGCAATGGCGGCTAGGGATCCAGCTTGGTGCTGGAGGTCGGCAACTGGAATACTGTCTTCCATGGTATCTATCTTTTCCTGGTATGTCTGTGTGATATTCGCATTGTCGGAGAAGATAAGATATAGAAATTCGCAGTCTATGTGATGTATTCTACCTCGTCGACTAAGATAATATGTCTGTCTAACTCTACCATTGAGCGGCGGGAGAGTGAGATGTGGCTGCAGGAACTCTGCGTACTAAGACATAGCAGCCATCTTTACGAATCCTGATTGTTGCATAATTTATTTCATGGCATAGGCTTGAGACACCGTCAATGATATCATTCTATTGGCGCTGACCTTGTTCAGAGTTGATGCTCTCAGCAACCAGTGGAGAATAGGTGCTGCGAGGGTCCACAGCAGCTGTAGATTTATGCCTTGTGCCATGTGTGGTGATGTCGATTGCGACGGGGTAATCGAATTGAAAATTACATCGATACCTGTACCACGTACCTGAGCTTGGAGAAGGCTAAGGCAAGATCTGCAGTTTCCCAGCAGGTCCAGGATCGAAGACGCATTTACGTTCGAGTTGCCCTCCAAAAACACTGCTGTCCTAGGGTCCGCCCTGCCCGAACACGACCTTGACCACGAGTAACCTCTATACCACCAGACACAAGAGACAGCTTTGATAATGGATGAACTGGGCCTTGCATCAGCTCAACCTGGTAGCGACCGTATTTCCTTCTCTGGTTCTTGCACCCAGCCACTGGGAGCTCCTCAACCACCGAATGAACCTCACGTACGTCAATCCAACATCGATGGCTACAGCGTCGTACTGATACGTTTCAGGCTATAAGCGTTTCCTTGCCCACCTGGGAGGCTGTGACTGCCGTAATGGCCGGCGCAGACTGGGCTATACGCCAACTACGAACCAGCTATCCTAGGTTGTACCTGGCCACATCTCTGCGCTCTAGCCTAGTAATGTTTCCGATATCTGACAATCTTTTCCAGGTTTGATATTCATAACTGTGTGAGAGGGTTGCATGATGCCGTTCTGGCCAGATTCAAGTACCCGGTGCAGACGGTGTGTCGAGCGTTTCCATCCCGGGAAGCTGCTGAGCGTTTTGTCGCAAGACTACAGAAAGCAGATCCCACAGTATCAACGCACATGGCGCGGTTCCAGCTTCCTCGTGAGACAGTTCCTGAGATGGCAAAATGGGCCGCGTTCTCAGTCGTGTTGTTTCAGGAAAGTCACGAAGAGGTGGCGTTCGAGTTTTGGGAATGGTTCGGGGATGGCATCTCCAGCAGGCATGCTGAGTTCTGCGTGTCTCTGTTTTCCTTTATGAATTCCTATTCGTATAACTCTGAATATCAGACTGTGGGTCCAGCTTCCCATGATCTGAGTGCCAAGACCATTCCAGAGTGGATTGACTTCTCTACCCAAGACAAAATAGAGATCAAGTCTAGGCTAGCCAGCTCAGCGACGTCAGCAGATCCAGCCTTGAAACCCGTCGGCACTGACGATGTATTTCTCTATGCAACTGGGATGGCTGCAATCAGCGCCATTGCCCGCGCGTTCGCTCGGACATCGGATGACTCTGGCGCTGTGGTGTACGGGTGAGTTAATATGAATCATCTTGCACAAGGTAATATGCTGATGAGGTGATAGGTGGCCGTACTCCGGTACTCCTCATTGCGTGCAAGGCTGTGGGTTCAAGCACTACACCATGTACGGCCATGGCTCGAAGGAGGATCTCGACAGACTGGAGTCCTTGCTGGTTTTAGGGACTCGATGCACGGTGCTGTTCTGCGAGATCACGTCCAATCCTCTGTTGTCTACGCCGGATTTGCATCGCATCCGAGATCTCGCCAACCGATTTGGCTTCGTCGTCGTGTGTGACGATACACTCGGCACGTCTGTCAACGTGGATATCCTGCCATATGTCGATGTCATCATCACCAGCTTGACCAAGATCTTCAGCGGTGCAGGCAACGTCATGGGAGGGAGGTATGCATTCAACCTGTTGGACACTCACAGCTCGTTCTACCGATACTGACCTCTACAGCCTCATGGCTAACCCGAACTCCCGCCACTACCGCTCTCTTCGTGCCCTTCTAAACAAAACTTACGAGGACCTCTACTTCCCCCTTGACGCAAAGACAATGGCGCACAACTCATCCGACTTCGCAGCCCGCGTCCACAAATGCAACACGACCGCCCTGCAGATCGCCAATCTGCTCAAGTCCCATCCATCTGTCGAATCCGTCAACTATCCCACCATGGTCACCACCGCCACTCTGTACGAGCAGTACCGCCGCCCCAACGGCGGATACGGATTCCTCGTCAGCGTCGTCTTCCGCGAGCCCGCGAGCGCGGTGGTCTTCTACGACAACCTGGATGTGTGGAAGGGGCCTACTGTCGGCACGAATTTTTCGATTTCCATCCCGTATTCGGCGCTGGCGCATGCGAAGGAACAGGACTGGGCAGCGGCGCATGGGGTCCCGAAGCATATTGTGCGGCTGAGCGTTGGGCTGGAGGATTATGACGATTTGGCTGAGCGGGTTGGTCGGGCGTTGCAAGATGTGGAAATGAGAGGGAAGATGGCTTAGAGATGTTGATTTGCAGCCATATACTATATAGTCTATAGCTTTACAGAGTGCCTGGTTTAGGAGTATATAAGGAAACAACACAGCGATACATTGAGATGATTACATTACACTTGTTTTTCAGTCGTAAAACTTGATGTATTTGCAATTGATCCAGCGGGTGTCATTCTGTATTGTATTACAGCACATAACGATCACGGAAATTGATATTTAGTCCTCTAAATGGAAAGATGAGCTGGGTACTAGGAGTTACGAGTACTGCCATAATGTGTGACTGTTCCTGTATCGTCACAAGTGGATCCGCGAATTGCTGTACCATCGCTATGGAATATGGCTTGTGAGCTACATCCATGAACGAGGCACCCTTCAAGCCATCGCAGTTAAGGAACCAGGTCTGCTGCTGAGTATCGCGTCTACTAGTTGTGATTATACACAGGCATCACGACTCATCAAAGTCTACCAGAGCCAGCAAACGTAGTCCAAGCATCTTTGCAGGAGACCTAGATTAAATTCCACTACTATGACTAAGAAAGAGTCTGCGGTGGATGTGTTGATTATAGGGGCGGTAAGTTGCCTCACACATGCGAGATCCCACTGATACTTACTCGCCATAGGGCCCGGCAGGGTAAGGTTCTGCAGAAATCTCTTCGTGGGAACACAAAACCCATGATAGACCAGTACTGACGGCTCCCAGCCTAATGGCCGCCATGTGGATGACAAAATGCGGAGTCACCACACGCCTTGTCGAGCAACGACCATATCAGCTTCGGGTTGGCGGTGCGGACGGGTAAGCCTACGCTGAGCTATCATCGGAACGGACGCGGCTCACTCGAGGCACAGTATCCACCCGCGCTCAATGGAGTTGTTCGAGAGTTTCGGCCTCGATCAGGAGATCACGCAGGTATGGGAGCCTATCACGGGGTGGGCGCTTTGGTGTCGAAACGCCGAAGGAACTCTCGCCAGATCCGATCGGATGGATAATCCTACCCCAGTGCGCTGCAGGTAAGTTTGTTATTGGAACTTGTCGAGCGGGTATCTCATGATGCACACAGATGGGGTCCGGGACTGCTACAACAGGGCATCATTGAACGGATCATCAAGGAGCATATCTCAGAGCAACCTTTTGTTCGGATCGAATATGAAACTGCGCCGACCTCACTTGTTATCAATAAAGATGCGCTGGATGATCCAGACGGTCATCCCTGTGTGCTTAGTCTGCGCCATGATGACGGTGCCGAGGAACTCGTCCGGGCGAAATATGTCATTGGGGCGGATGGAGCACGCTCGTGGACCAGGAAGCAACTGGGTTTCAGGATGGAGGGGACGCGGACTCGATCCGTCTGGGCTGTAACGGATCTGGTCGTTGTGTCGGACTTTCCAGAGTAAGTTGACAACAATCCATTTTGAGCTGGAGGTCACTCATGTACTTCCAGCATCCGGATATGCACTACAGTCAACAGCTACGGCGAAGGAGGACTCTTCTTCCTCCGGCGGGAGCGCGGCCTGACCCGTTTCTACGTCCAGCTAAATCGCGCCGATGAGGAGGAGTTTCATGCTGCGTCCATTACGCAAGAGCTCATTATTCAGAAACTACGGAGCCTGCTGAGGCCTTATACAGTGAGTGATTCCAAATGAGATAGCGAAATTGCGCTAATCATGACCTTTGTAGTTTACTGTCAAGCGCTGTGAATGGTGGGTTATAAGCTTATTGTGTCGCTGTTGTGACTTCTACTAACCACCAAAGAGTGTAGGTGGTCAAGCTATACTGTAGCTCACTATCTAAGCAATGGGATGACCAAGCATGATCGCGTCTTCCTCGTAGGCGATGCTGTGCACAACCACTCTCCCCTGGTTGGTCTAGGCATGAACGTCAGCATGCAGTATGTGCCTCTTTATTGACTGACGATTTGCAGCTCCCATACTAATGCTACACCAAGAGACTCTTACAATCTGGGATGGAAACTCGCCGGAGTGCTCAAAAAACAATTGAGCACTGCTATTCTATCAACCTACGAGACAGAGCGACGCCCTGTTGCGGAAGAACTGATTGAAACCGATCGCTTTCATCTGCAGCTCTTCGACGCGGTCACTGTAACAGGCTCAGAGCCGGCCTGGATGCAGGAGCGCGAGGAGGCCTTACAGCCTTCCATGCAAGGCTTTGCCGTCCAATACCAAGACCAGCTTCTTACCGCAGGAACGGAAAAAGAACGGAGGCCTGACGCTGTAACACCGGGAAAGCGCTTCCCGCAGCTGAGCGTGTCTAATCATGCAACAGGGAAAGTCTATTCAATACAATCACTTCTCAAAAGCGAAGGAAGATTTCACGTCATTGTTTTTGCCGGAGACCTTTCCCAGCCACAGGAACTAAATCGATTCAACACCTTTGGCACTGCGCTGGAGCAAATCGAGGAACAGATTGTCCCGGCCTCGATGGGAAAGTTCAATGTTATTGCCGTGCACCGGACCCACAAGACAGCGATTGAGCTTGCAAGTATGGCGAACATTTTCTTCCCTGTTGATGAGCCCTCGGGACGAGACTACAACCGGGTCTATTGCGACATGGAGACGAGCTATGAGGAGGCTGGGATCAGCGAACGGGGCGCGGTGGTGCTGGTTCGCCCAGACCAGTATGTGGGATGGTGTGGTGAGCTGGAGGATGTTTCAGGATTGATACGGTATCTGCAGCCGATTTTCGAGGTGAAGAAGCATGCATAGCGTGAGATCAGCAAGAGTGAGGTCATCAGCTGAATACGACCCACTGTATCTTTCCAGTGGCCAAAAAAAATACATACTAAAAATCAATAGCGCCGGGGTAGTCCAAGATAGAGACCTGTTTTCAGCTTGTGGCGGGCCGATCCTCAACCGATCTATGATTATTGTGTTCAAGTACAGCCATAAATACAGAACGAATTTTCATACCAATGCAGGACGAATGCCGATTCTACTCAAGACCGTATTATGTAGCCTCTGGATCACTGAGACCTGTATCAGTGGGCCTGTCTCAAAAATCCAATTTAGTGAAGATATCGAGTGCGAATACTCCGTATTGCATTAGCCAGAGAAATCGAGTACAGGTATTACAGATGAAAGCTTCCCGAGGCGCGCATGGCTGTACAGACAGAGATCCCAGCTGCAATGTAACCAGACCCGCTGGCGTCAATCCTCAAGTAGTGGAAGTAAAAGTTGTATCATTATTGTATATGCCTACATGTTCAGAAGAATATTCAATTATTGATTTGCTGAATTACTCAGTGCAGCCATCACTATACATAGCTCTGCAGAAACACTCCTGGCCGCTGTCAACCAAAATTGCACATAAGAGATATCGCCTCATCCACACAAAAATGTACGAGAGCATCATTCCCTTCCCAGATCAAACCGCAAGCACAGTCGACAAGTACTGCTGCTCCCATTCCACAGGACTGCCACCCCTCTTCGCCGAGCACGCAGCATGGACAGTCGAAAAGTTCGAGACCTCGTATATGATGTGCTGTCCGCTCCAGGCCCAAATGTGCATCTTCCTCGCAAGCGACCGCCGCGCGAGACGGGTGCTCGAGATCGGGACGTTCACGGGATACAGCGCGCTGGCGTGGAAGGAGGGGATGAAGGCCGTGGGCGGGGAGGTGTGGGCGTGTGAGGCCGGTCCTCGGGCCATTGCGGCAAGCAAGGAAGCATTCGCCAAGTATGATCCGGAGGGAAAGATTCATCTGGTCGAGGGACCTGCGCTACAGACGTGAGTGAGCGGTGAACTTTAGGACTAAAGCAGCTAAGGTATGGTGAAGGTTGCGAGAGATCAATGCTGCGCCATTTGATATCATCTACGTCGACGCTCGGAAGGCGGAGTATATCGAGTACGTGGAGATTATTCTGGAGAGGCATCTTCTGGCGGAAAATGGGATTATCCTTGCGGATGACAGTATGTATCCCCTGTCACTGCTCTGTAGAGGTCAGGGAGTAATGGATATGACAGCGATCCATCTCGGGCTGGTGGCAGATAGATCTCCTACGAACCCCCATTCGGCGCGGGAGGACATTGAATACAGCCTTCAGCATGCTGATAATGTGCATAAGTTCAATGAATGGGTGGTCAAGGTATGCTGTCTCCAGGGCAGAGTTCCAAGAACAACGCTAACAAGGTTGTCTAGCATCCTCGACTGGATGTCCTCTTGCTTCCAATTTTCAACGGGGTGACTATGATCAAAATCAAGACGTGATCCTGATCATTTGCAAAACTTTGAGGCTTCGAATTATTAATTCTGAAACCATAAGAAAAATAAGCAAAGGATGATTGTGACCTATCTCCTGTAGTTTCCTTAGTAACGAGGCATGGGTTGCATACGAGGCGTAGCTGAAGAGCAGTGGGATTTGAGCCAGGATCTTACATACCAATTTTTTCATACCGTTTTCCGTCCAACTTACAGTGACTGGTATTAATTGCAAAATACCACTCTTTTCAATCGAAATGTTGGTTCGCAATGTTGGTGCCAGGATGACCCACGCATGGAATCCGTACTCATTATTTTTACCCAAGATCCGGAGATCCATTAGTTACGTTACCCACCATTCCGTTTAGTCAGGCCCTTGATAGCTTGGGTGAGGAACTTGTACTTTGAACAGCTCAAGTGTAATAAGAGTATATTATCCATATGAAAGCAGAACTCATTGCGTTCATCTTGACTCCCTTTAAGCACTCCGTAAGACCTGGTCTACCGTGAAATAACTACCGCAACCACTACTATGTACCAAATTTCTTTGAAGGCAACAAAAAGCGTTGCAGATCCAACCTCTTCAATTGACGCAGCTCATGGTGACCGTCTGGTGGAGCGCGATGCATACGACGCCGCAACGTTGCGCTTCATCAGCGACATGGAACTGTCCTCAATGTACGCGGAGAAGATATCACCGTACCCCATTCTCATGCCGAGAAGCTTCATTGAACACCTGAAAGAACTTCAGCATCTGCTGTTTGTTGCTATATCAAACATCCTGGACCGATGGTGGGAGGACAGTGAAGCCGACTTCCCCCGTCGCATGCCATTGGAACCGCACGAGGAGAGTGTATTGAAGGTCAGCACCCTCCTGTATTCACTGTGCCGCAAGCTTTACAATAACCGATGTCTAGTGGGTACATGAAAGGTCGAAACAGAGCCTGATGCCGCATTACAATGAGCGCCCGCTCCACTGGAGGCCGGACCTGCTCCTCCCGGCAGGGGCAGATTCCAACACCATCCTACCGTTCAAGATCTGCGAGATCAACGCTCGTTCCCCTTTCAACTCGATGATCAAGAGTGTCTGTATGTTTCATGCAGCGGCTGCAAGCGAAATAGCGCTTCCCGATGGGTTAGAGCTCGCTTCGACCGCGGACAAGATGGTGGACAGTCTGGTCTCGCTCTTCAATCCGGACCTCCCTCTTCATGTTATCTGGCATGAGGGTATCACGGACCCTATCGACGCGTTCAGTTCCCTCTACAAAAAGCGAACAGGCAAGATACCGCGAGTAATCCGCGCGACAGACCTGCGTCTCGCGCCGGATTCCTCATCCCCGACTGGTCGGATTCTGTGTTGCGTTGCCTCGGCCGGATCCGCAGAAAATCCAGACGGCCAGGGAATCGCATCGCAGTCAGGCGAGCCTCTGGAACGAATCTACCAAGTCGGACTCCAGCTGTCGCATCAGGATTACAGCGACATCTCTTCGGAAGTGCTACAGCAGCTCGCCGTGGACGGAATCTGCGACATGCGCAACATCTTCCTGGTCAGCGACAAACGCATGCTCGGCATAATCCGGCAAGAGCTGGACGCTCTCGTGCACAAGCACCACGTCTTCACAGGTGAACAGGCAGAGATCCTCCGACAGGGCATCGTGCATACCATTTTGCCCAGTTCCGAGGACATTCGACGCCTCATGCGGCAGATTCGCGAGGGCTCCGTATCCAAGGATAGCTATCTTCTCAAACCTGCCCGGGGACACCGCGGAATGGGAATCTTGCTTGGGAAAGACTTGGAGCAGAAGGAGTTTGAGGAACTCCTTGAGGAGCTGGCAGACCCATTACTGCCAGCTGACAAGAGATACGTTGTGCAGCCTTTTATTGAGCAGGCTCTATTTGGTTTGAGGCTGTATGATGATAGCGAGCCGCAACAATGCCGGATGACAGGAACATATCATGCCATTGGTGGCTGTTTCGCTGGGTTGGGCGTCTGGAGGGCTGACAGCGAGAGGATTTGCTCTCGATTCCACGGTGCCTTTAGCATTCCCGCGGTTGTTGCTCTGACATGCCAATAATTTTATATACATTCTATGTTCACGGATACCCCTGGAACATAAAAGTCTGAGCATTTGAGCTTCGCCAATTGGGAAAATAAAGAAGACCACGAAGCGATACCACATACGTTTGACCCCCGACCCGTATATATCAGTTATCAAAGACGAGAAGTCATAAGCCCCCTGCAATGTTTGACATGTCTCCATCCCATGTGTTCCCAACAAACCGAACTGGATCGGTCAATATCTTGCCATTTGGATAGCTGAGAACGCTGTTCAATACTAGTAAACCCCAGTTGTTACATATTTTCTTTCTCTTTTGTTTTGCCCTGTTCACCCCTCTTTTCCACTCTTGACTGATCCTGAATGTTACATGTTATGCACCAATCATTATGAGGAGGTTGAGGAGTGGAAACAGGCACCCATTTTTGCAAATTCTGCCCATCTTTTGTATGCGGAATTGATTGATACCTTGGTCATTACAATTGTCTTTAGCGGTATTATTTCCACAGAGGACGCCTTGTCGACCCAGCTGGGTCTTATTTTCAAGATATTGACCCACGCAAAGGGATGCATGTAGATATGAAACCACAAGTTGAAAAGGGCGTCAATCGCCCGACCTGCAAGCATCACCTTCCTTAGATTCTTGTTTCATATCATTATCTTCCCTTCTGTATCACTCTCTGCCTTTCTCCCCTACCCATTCACCTATTCTAGCCCAGATAACATCGCGCAATATGGGAGGTACAGGTGCATTACCCCAGTTAAAGCAGGTCGCAGTAGCAGCATCCCGGCAAGGGCAGCTTGTGGTCGTGGATGACCTACAGCCCGACAGACAACAGCATGAAGAAGACTTGTTTAAGTCAGTTTTCACTACGCCTCACCCTCACGTTGGCAAAGAATGGAGTGATGCCGATCGTGTGTCTCCGTACCCTCTCCTAATCCCGGAATATTTTATCGAGAACGCAAAGCAGCTGCAAGAGGCACTTGCGATTGCGGTGACCAATATCGTGGAGCGGTGGGCTGAGCCCAGCGATTCGCTGTGCCAACGCATGCCACTGCAGCCTCATGAGGATGCTCTTCTTCGGGTATGTGTACTATCCCCGAGTACAGAAGCCTTGCTGACTCTTGACGCAACAGTGGATCCACCAGAAATCCAAAGAGGGCGTTATCCCACTGTTTAAAGAATGCATGGGACACTGGAGGCCGGATATCCTGCTCTCGAATACAAAGGACGGAGATTTATCATTCCGCATCTGCGAAATCAATGCACGGTTTTTCCAAAACTCCCTCATGTATTCAATGCAAGCCCTTACAGCTTGTTCTCGAATGCTTTCGGATCACCCTGTGTTACAGCCAACAGCTGATCCTGAACATTTACTTGATTGTCTTTGCGATCTTTTCGATCCCAGCTTGCCGTTCCACATGTTGGTTGGCTGGGGTAAGCCGAAATTGTCAGAGGCAATCTGCAAAGTATTGAGAGAGCGAGCGGGCGTCTCAGCAAGGGTCATTACTCCCTCTGATCTGCGTCTCGTTCCCGATGACACGTCTCCTACTGGGTACAGCCTGTATGCAGTATGCAGAAAGTCCCAACTTGGAGCAACTGCGAGCCAGGATCCCACCCATGACAGCCTTGAGCCAGTCCGTCAGGTCGGACTATACTTGTACCAGGACGAGTTCCGCCGTCTAAGCATGGAGATGCTCCAGCATATAGCCCTTCGGTGCGTGAACGATATTCGAACTATTCTCCTAGTAGCCGACAAGCGGATTTTAGGGGTCGTTCTCCGGGAGCTTGACACCCTGGTCAATGACTACAAGGTTCTCACCGCTGAACAAGCACGCATCTTGCGAGACGGAATTGTTCCCACAATTCTTCCTGGGTCTTCCGAACTAAAAACATTGATCTCACAAAGTCGCAGCAACCCAGGCCTAAAGAACGAGTACATTATCAAGCCATGTCGTGATGCGGAAAGCGTCGGTATTTTGTTCGGAGACGAGCTTTTGGGCGAGGAATGGGAACGTCTGCTTGCTGATATGCAGGATCCACGACTTTATCCTCACCGATTTCAGTATATTATACAGCCTATTGTCCGTCAACCTGCCATCAATATTTCACGCGAAGTGGACACAACACTCGGCGATATGAACATTGTCGGCCTCTATTATGCTTTCAATGGTCGTTACAAAGCTCTCGGTGCATGGAGAGCGACACATGGGCGGCTCTCTTGTTACTCCAAAGGTGGATTCAGAATTCCCTCAGTGACCGTGAAGTAGCTGGTTTCCAGGTTCGCGGATCTGAGTCTCGCCAAACGGCTTAATTAGCTTTCTACTGTATCAGACGTATTCATCCAAGTCCAGTTGCTCTATAGTCGCTCAGCATCCAACTTCTTTTCAATATTGTCCTTATTTCCATATCTTTTCTTCCGCCAAGCATTCAAGATGGAAGCGCCTGCTGTTGTTAATGACAATATGTAGATATACGCCCCGAAAGTCCTTCCTTCCTTCGTCTCCTGATTGGGTGGTGCCAATCACGGAACCATACTTTCCAATTTGTGCAATTGCTCTCCGAAAAGCAGCTTCACAGTCATATGGCTTGAAGGGGTAAGACTTCTCGTGGAGCATGGGCGGATGTGAACCTTTCACATCGAGTGACTGTTGACGGTGAATATCACTGTCTTTTTGGTCTAGGGTTGGCTATTGAGAATTGCGGTTGTGACCTGATACAACTCTTGCTGCATAATGACGCTGTGCTCCATTCTCCAGGTATCTAGGATTGGGACGGTCCATGTATCTTTTCTCAGTCTCGTTTTGGATCCACACTGTTCTGAAACCCTTGAAGGGTTCTCGATATTGGAAACTAACTGAGCAGTGCCGCGGAGGATCATGACTCCAAAAGATATTTAGAGGTCATATACTGTGAGCAGGTGTCAAGGTCTTAAGCTTGATCATCAACAAGATGGCTGCACTTCTGAGTTCGGCTCGAGATGCTCAGATGCACAAAGCTTGGCAGAAACCCAATATGGTGTTTGCTTGCACACGACTGAAGGTTCTTCAGGTTCATTTGGACGAGGGCTCACACGGTTGGCTAGACACGTTACGGTACTTGTCCACACCTATGGCAAGCAACAAGGCCTGCAGAATGTCTGTGCAAGGGTGCAACTTATGCACAGAACCAGAGGCATGCTGAGATTGCAGAGTGGTTGGCAGAGTATCCCTATGATTCCTGTTATCCTCTTCTGAGGTCATCTGGCCTCCGTTATCTCTGCAGGATGCTTCCATGGTCTAAGGGAGATTTCAAAGCCCAAAACCTGATGCCACTCACAGCTAATAGCCTAATACTGCTGTCGCTATCCTTTAATATGACTAGGCGCCTCCTGGAGACCCTGTGTGTACACAGTCCCTGCTGTCTAAGATCTATGGCTTGCCTGCTTATTAAATGCTGCTAATTCCATGCCATAGTCCTACTTAAATCTGCCACATTTCAGGTGCGTGTGAGATATTGCAATAGCAGCATGCTGATAGGAGAGAATATTAAGTTTTGTCTAAAGATGAATAGTCACCTCCTGCTGTAAAATAGTCCGCAGCTAGCTGGGGTCCTACGTTACCTCTTTATAAGGCTAGAGAAAAGGTAATTAAGGGCTAGTAGATCACTGGGTAAGTTGTTAGATAGTCTGCCAGATGGGCAGAATTAACTAGAGATAGTAGACTAAGAGTTTGCTTATAGGTTTAGGCAGGTACTAGTGAATAATCTTCATGTAGTTGCTAACAGAATACCCCTTGTGATAGGAGGTAACTGTATTAATAAGCTCATGTTTAATGAAGATATTCTGGTGCTGCCTATAGATAGTATTACTATACGAGAGACTTAATAACTTAGTTGCCTGTCCTAGCTGCCCAGCTGTGATATGAATAAGAAGAAGAAGTTACTCTAAAAACTAATTAGCTTGCTAGAGATACTAATTAACTATAGCAGGATGCTAGACTACCTAAGAATTACTTAATTAAATATCTAGGAATTCCTCCTGGAGCCAGTTAGTAATTAAGGCTTAATTAATAAGCTATCACTTTCCAGAATGACTAAGTACTACTAAATTTACTAAATTCTAGAGAAAATTCCATCTATGTGTATTATTCACTAGATCATCCTATAGCTTCTTAAGAGCTAAAGCTGGTATAATATTCTATTGTATCTCCTTATTATATAGAAGGAAAAGATCTTCTAGGCTCTGTTATGTGAGTTTAATCTGTATCTAAATAAAATTGCGGAGGCTAGATATACCTAGTTTAAGATTATAGTAGCTAAGGGTCTGCTCATCATCACTCTAATAGATATAGCTGAGACTAGTTATACTATTCTAGATCTTCTTGCTATAGGTCCGGAGTTAAGTAATCTAGCTAAACAGGGCCTGAACCCTAAATAGGAGGAAATGGGCCTGCATCTCCTCCAGGGCATTAGTTAGGTAGGTAACTAGCCCACACTCTGCTAGTGAGACTACCTGTTGCGCTACTAGTATTTGTGAAAACCTAACTAATCCAGAGAGGTAGTGGGTATAGGCATAGGGATCTTGAAATATCTGATGCTAGGGATTAATGCCTAGGATAGTAAGGAAGCCTACTATAGCACTCTTATAGAGCTCCCCTTTTAAAGAATGGTCTAATAATATAATAGATAAGGCTAGACAGGCCTAATTAAGTCTCTCCTGCTCTACTAGACTTATTTCCTGGAGTAGCAGAGTCCCAGCTTCTATCATTTAATCTAAGGCCGCGAGCTGATGCGTAGTAAACTAATAATAGAGGATAATTATCTGGACTGGCTAGCTGGTCTGGTAGATAAAGCAGATTAGCTGCTGCCATACCTGTTAGTAGGACATGTACATTGATGGCTTAAGATGGATCCGGATTGGTTGGTCCCAGTGAGAGAGGAAGGTATTAATCTGAATCTAATCAAATTCATTAATCTGGTGGTCTTTGATAGTATGATAGGACTGCTGGATTAGCCGCTCAATGCTCTGGACAAGCAGGACTAATAGAGGCTCCTAGCTAGGGTCTGGAAGGGCATTGAGGGCTGCTGCTGTGACCAGGTTATAGGTACCCAGATACTCTAGCCATTGTGTGAGCTCTAGCTAGGGTGAGACCTCCATAGCATATTTCTAGAGGGGGATCTGCTGCATCTATACCTGCTTATCCTTAATATCCTGCTTGAGGGCCTCCTTAACCTGGGCTCAGATAAACTTAGCTAGTATTAGTGTCTTTGCCTGCTTAGCCTACTTAACTTAAGCTAGCAGGGTAACAGCAAAGAAGCTACTTCCTGCTACTACAGGGAAGAAGCACTAACAGCTAATAGGATGTCCCTAGTAGAGATGATCCAGCTAATAGGTAGTTATATATTAGCCACCCTGAGGTCAGCAGAGTTCTGGATGGGCCTTATAGATATGCCTACAGAGGACTTTTGGTGATTATATGATATAGCTGCACTGGGAGCAGCAATAGTATATTAGCAGGTTTAGGATTAGCAGGCTATTAAGATCAGGGAAGACACAGGGCTCTTAAGCCAGGTCTAGCCAGGGCTATTTAGACATCTTTTAGTAGGTGTCTTGTCACAGAACATCAGTTGCTGCAGTTAGGTGGGTATAATGATGAAGGCAGAGATGAGTCTTTAGCTATTATGGATAAACTGCGTACCAGCAGAGCTTGCAGATCCACACGTAAGAAGGTTAATAATAGGTAAAGAGATCCATTGGTATCTAGATTGGCTGTGTATCAATCTAACCTTAATTAAATTAGAGAAAGTAGGGGAAGAGATATTAAGATGGTTAGAGAAGAAACAGAGATGATACTTAGAAAATAGAGAAGCTGAATTCTACACATCTATGATGTGTTAGATCTAAGCCTAATTAAGTGGATAAGGCTTCTGTCACACCCTGGGATCCGTCTCTGCTGTTCTCTGCTAGTCAACTACTTTGGGAACGAGATGATATAGTCCCTGGGCTATATCCGATACTTGCCTAAGGCCTACCGACCGGGTAGCCTAACGATGCAATGATCCGAACAGGATCAAGGACAACCAAAGGTAACATAAGAACAATAACAGTAGAGATAGAAGCAAGGCCTATTGAGTACGTATACTCAATAGTAAAGAGTAACTGATGAATCGGACTAGTGAACTTGTACTTAAGTAAATAACTTATATTGAACGCGAGGAACTGAAACTAAGAGTGCTAGATATAATAATAATAAATGTCCTTATATATCCATAGTTCCTCCAGGTTAGACTGGCTGACCCAATCCGCAAATCCATATCCAACCCACCCAATCCGCACTTTGGGTTGGATGGGGGTCGACTCTGATCCAACCCATATCCATATGGGTGGATGGCATCCTACCCATATGGATATGGGTAACCCATTGGGTGCACATGACCGGCAGAATGACAGATATTCATAATATTCTCTTAAAGAGAGGTCTTTCTACCTACTAAAAGTAGTATAGTCTAAATTCTTAGGTCTTTCCGCCTACCAAAAGTAGTATAGTCTAAAATCACGTGTATAATATGGGTAGAATGGTTATCCACAACCCAATCCGCATGGATATGAGGGTGGGTTAGATAGGTGGTGGATCAACCCAAAACCCATGCGGGTTGGATTGAACCCCCTGCGGATCCATCCAAACCCAACCCACGACCAGTCTAGAGTAGATAGAGGATGGTTATAGAGTCTATGCTATAGAGGTACTGTAGTTGCCTATATTTAGTATGGTGACTGTGGAGTCCGCGCATGACACTGTTACTAGGCTTTGTTTTCTTCAGTTTTCTTGATTTGAATAGTGGATGATTAGCTCAATAAGGAATCTCGTCACGGCGTGTGAATCGTAATTGTAACTCAGTTCATTTTTTCTCTGTATAAATATCCAAGAACTTTCAGTCAAGTGGCATAAATTCTGCTGAGATTGTGTCAGGTACGGTGCCTAGCTAGGTGGCTACGGCTGCTTAAAAGGATGATATAGGTGGCCGAGGAGGATAACCTTTAATCTCTTTATCATTCTCTCGTTCAAACTTGCGAAAGACAGAACAATGGGCATTCAACAGAAACCAGTGTGGCGCGGTCAGCTCTTCACTGTCAGGATGATTACAAGAGCCATGGACGCGGTGTTGTTGCTAGTCAGTGAGGGAGAAACCAGCCCTTTGTGAGCTGCAATAATCCCTCGCCTATCCCATATCCCTGCTTTCAGCCTGTCCTTGAGTTTCGTTGATCACCCAGAATAGAGGACCCCACTTCGATCTAGGTCAGGCGTTAACAGACGTGAAGATTTACATCATAGTCTCCCTGATGATCTTCCTTGTAGACTCTAGCATCCTTCTGAATCAGAAGCCAAGTCGTCCCCCACTCGAAAAAAGCTGCGCCCCACTGTGTCTGGTCAGGATCTGACTCCTGCTGCCATTGGAGATTACCTACTCCAAATGGATCGGCCGCGCAGCGATGACTGTGCATCAGATTGAACAGTTCCCGTACTGTCAACGCGCCATCATTGTTGTGATCGTATTTGCAGAAGGTTCTCGAACGCCTGCGGAATGAATCTTCCTTCCGGGTCGTAGGTGCCACAGTCGGAACCGTGCTTGGCTTTGTGGATGTTTGGGACGTATACTCGAAAGGACGGATCTGGAAGCCAGCTGTAGCCATTCGCGTAGGGTAGGAGAAGTTGATATTGACGATGAGAATGATAAGGATGGAGACGGGAATGTTAAAGCCCGGTTCTTGGAAGTCGAAAAAGACGCCCCAAGGGAAGATTTGCCCGTCTCCGTCCCTATCCCAAAACGTGACGTGCTGCTAAAGTGGCGTCTATAGAAGATGGTCCGATCAGTGACATGCAATCTCGCATAAGACGGGGAGGTCAGTACGTATTCATGAGCCGCTAGTAAGCTCGACAGCCTTACGTAATAATTTATTGGTGGCTAACTTTGATTAAATTCCAGCTCCTAAGAATCGAATATTGAAGCTATTCAAGAGTACACCTGACCTGTAACCCGAGCTATTCAAACAGCTAAAAAATACCTTCCAAGGCCAGATCTCCCATATCTCGCCTATAAGAGATAGTACAATTTGCTCGATGGCCCTTACAATCACGATTATCCTCCATTCGGCCATCTTGATATCCATTACCCCCTCGTATAACCTGGATGTGGCGTATAAGACGTTCAATCCACTGCTGAATATTCTCCTCCGGAAGATCATTCCATGACTTCATCCATGTCCCTTTCCCTGTCTTCTTATCACGGGGTGCCCCTCGAGAAGTTGTACGCCATTTAAGCCGTGGCCAGGCTGGCTCAATAGAATTAAGATCGCCATCTTTCAATATGAGCTTGTCTTAGCTCATAAGCAGCAATGACGCCTCAGCCATGATGGACCATGTACATGCAAACCACAGTCAATGAGCCTTAATTAGTATACTAATTATACAGCAATAACTCATACTCTACACAGAATCCAACACACTAATTCCCACGCTCCAAAAGATCACAGAATAATAACATTATCTCACGCACCTCTTTCAAACGCCGCGCATATGTGTCCCTCAGTAACCTATCCTTGACTGAAATCCCCTCACCACGACTTTGCAAAGTCTCCAACCCAAGCTGAAACTTCGGCCTTGCATTACTCGCAGAGCTCAGAGCCTTCCACACTGCATCCCCGGGGACCTCCTGCCTCGAATCCAGCAATAACTTCACGATATCAAGGTATGCTCTTCCAGCCGCAAGCGCCAGCGGGGTCTTATCGTATATGCTCGTGGGCCATACCTTAGTCCCGGGGCATCAAGAAGTATTCTCACGACATTCAGATGTCCATTCTCAGCGGCGTAATGCAGTGGCGACATTCCCCAACGGTCGACGGGGGATACGTCTATATCCTGCCGCGCAACAAGGATGTTAACCATCTGCGTCTGGCCGGCGACAGCAGCGTACGCAAGCGGCGTCCGTTGGTATAGGTCTCGCGCATTCACGTCGATATCGGGGTGCGCGACCAGGGCAGCTACGATAGCTGCATCCAGCGGGTCCTGCTGTGCCGCAATATGGAGCGGCGATAGTTGGGCTCTATCTGGTGCCGTGATGAGGCTCATGTTTAGGTCTGGATGTTCAAGAATGGCGTTGACGTGGCCGACACTGTTGGAGAGGATGGCAGCGTCGAGCAGTGTCATGCCTGACGTCGCTCCAGAGTTGTCACGGTAGTTTATGTCGACTTCGCCAAAGGAAAGTAGGTGTCGGAGAACTTCTTCGGTTCCGAGCTCGGCGGCGAGAAGGAGCGCATTACCATCTAGAAAATACTTTTGCAGCTCCGTGCCCACCGTCAAGGCGATCATCGCTTTGAGGATATTGACGTTGCCGCCTGTGATCACTCGTCTGAAGATTGTAGGCACCCAGATGTGAACTCTAGGATGCGCAAGTAAAGACCTGAAGATATTCTCATGCCCCGTCGCAGCAGCCAGAACCAACGGCGTTATTGGGTTGGCATCCCCATCTCCATCTGCAATATTCACATCCACTCGTTCACAAGATAATAACGCCTCCACCACATCCTCATAACCCCTCTCAACCGCCCAAATCAGAGGCGCCCTCCCCAGCCGATCCTGGGTATTGGCCCTCACCCCTTCCTCAGCAAGAAGAACCCGCACAACATCCGCATATCCCGCCCCGGCTGCTCGCAGAAGCGGCGTATCCCCCTTTTTATTCACAACGTCCCCATCCACTCCCTTCTCTAACAACCACTCAACAACCCCGGCATGCCCGCCCAAAGCCGCAAAATGCACCGCATTATCCCCGTCGGCAACAGTCAGTTTGTGCAGGTCCGCGCCCTGCGTGACCAGGAATTCAAGCACGTCCACCCGTCCAGCCAACGCCGCCGCCATGACGGGTGGATGGAGCCACCCATCCCCCGGGTCTGGCTTCACGGCTACCCCGAGTGCCAGAATTTTCTTTATATCTTCAATCCGGCCCAAGTACGCAGCTGCCATGAGTGCAGCAATGCGCCACCCTTGTTTCTCATCATCGAGGTTGGCCTCTGGATCGTTCCCATTCCCGTGGCTGGTTTCTAGAAGCCTAATCATCAAATCTGGGCCGAGAGTCCCAACAACGATGGAGACCATCGCCTCTGTGTGGATCTTCCGTAATTCTCCCACGCCTACTGTACCAGAACCACTCCCACCGGTAGGCGAATAATCCTCCTTCGAGAAGAAATTCGCACTCAACTCAACACCTTGCACAGTTGATCGAACCATCGGGTACGCATTCCCAACCCCATCCCCTTTCTCACAATGACGAATCAAACTCTTGAACAACCTCCCGACAAACTCCCTCATTGACCGAGTCCCTGGCCCGCGCCGAATCGGTAAATCCCGATCGAACTTCCCGTCACGGATCGCAGCCAAAATATGATCGATCACGCACTCATCAAACATCCCTGCTGTCTTGTTAGCATGCATCGATGGATTGATCATTACTACGCCTTTTTATAAGAGAAGAAGGATATAAAGACCGACGCACGACAAACACTCCTAATCCTCAGAAACCAGCGGACGTCGTTCTCCGCCGTGGTCCGTTCACGGTTATTTTTCCATAGGGCACGGGGGCGCCAGTGCCAGAGAGGGGCGACATGATTGAGGATATTCAAGACGAGCTCGGGGGAAGAGTAGGGGACATTGTGTGAAAAATAGTGAGGAATATCTATTTGTGGTTCTAAGCTTGGGGAATTTGGGTGTTTTGAAGCAAGAGGCTCGACCTAAACAGTGTGCCAAGAGGGCTCGTATTCGCTTGGCGGGGATCAACACCAACCAGAGCATTTCTGGCTGAGGCTGAGGCTTGTGGATACTTTGTCTACTGGGTAGGAGTCATGTCGTTGAGTAAAGAAAAGATAATAGAATATGGTGTCTATAAATAGTAACGGCAGAGCGTTTATACTATGGTACGCAGTTTGGTGAACCACCATACAAGTATCACTCATCCAAACGCACCAGATTACAGAAGAAGGATCCATTAGGAATGGCAGGTTCTGGCCTGGTAATAAATGCCTATCACCCAGACAGGTGTTCATACTTATCGTTGATACTTAGAGTTGCAGCTTAGCCTTAATACATGGATGGGTACTATAAGTTTATCAGAATTTAGAATACATAGTTAGATGTCACATAATAATATGTAGGTTGTGGTCAACTAACAAGTTAACTAGTTAACTATGTGACATCACGTGATTCTTGTATAAACTGCTGCCTGTCGGAACTCAGAAGCTGGAGCTGGAGCCGTAGCTGTTGCACAAGGAAAGAAAATCTCCGATCATGCCTGCCATGGGGATGAAATACACCCAAGGTCCCCCCCTGGCTATTCAGCACTCCATCTCACCAGCAAAAACCTGCTCTCTGCTGCTATGACACCAAAGCTGACTAGCATATCAAAGGCTCTATGCTCACAACCTCCACCAAATCATCTAAAACAACTGCATACAAAATCTCACCAGGGATGCTTCAACTGCAAGAATCAAAAAATTAAGGTACATGTATTACCAGACAGGCTCTCTCCATTACTAAAACTGAGTATAGCATAACAGTGTCAAGAAACAAAGCTAGCGTGCATGAACTGTATACAAAGGGATCTAGATTATGATTACCTAATCAAAGGAGATACAAGATGGCGACTATTAACAGTAGTCTCAGGGAAGATGAAATGGACATTTGTATGCAGGCGAGGCTAGAAAAGGTGTGGTCTTGATATGTCCAGGCACTGGAAAAGTGGGAGAGATTTAAGAGTACTCTGGCGTGGGTTAGGCAGCAACAGTCAGGTTATAAAAATTGCGGGGGAATTGGCGAATTGTATAAGGACGACTTCTCGAGACGTTTCTACCCCTTGCCCAAAGAGCCATCAAGAACTGCTTTGTAGTTATGCAGGCAATTGTTGATAACTACTGTGTTTCAGAAGATTATCAACCATCACATTTCATTGCTTTTCTTGACCCTTTTGTGACGGAGCTGGAGACTTACTGTCCCTGGGGCATTCATTATTCCTCATTTTTCAGATGTCAATTGCACATGCACCAGCTGCATATGGGAAGGGTGGCAGACGGTGGAAAAGCAGGCAAGGACCCGCCGGCCCCCTCAGAGTTTGACTCATCCCATTCTACTCCGTACACTGTGTCAAATTTCGCAAGAAAACAAGGGGAAAATCAAGAGAGTCTTGGAAGTTCTACCATACGCACAAGTCTGTGTGATTTATTTCGTGAGTTTGCATTGAGAATGCCCTAATCAATGTCCGTGCAGTCGCGATTTCAGACGTGACAAGAACCCTACTTTATTCCAGAGATCTGCGAGGGGGTCTGCAGGTTTATCGATCAGTGAGGGTGCCACGACGCCTCTTCCGTGGCCGTTGACAGCTGAAGCAGAAGTGACATGTCCTCCGGGCTGGTTTGTAAAGCGGGTGGTCGAGACATATCTATCTTGACTTTTCAGGGTTTGACTCTCTCAATTGCGTCCTATCACTGTTCAAACAATCATTCAGGCTTTCTTCGCCTCGCCTTGTCCAAGATCCGCCAGAAAAGTCAGTCTGTCGAAGCCTGTCCTCTCCGGAGTCCCCCACTTACTTGGGTTTTGAATGGTTCGGTGGTTCGGCCGTTCGGCCTTACGAAACCAAAATCGCTATACAGTAGAGACGCGGTCACTCGCCGCTGAGTAATCGGCCGGGGTTGTGTTGATTTGAAAGTTCGCGAGGGAGATATATGAAAAACATTTGGCAGGATATCCTACTGGGTCGGAAAGTATCGGAGGGGTATATATTCTCGAATTTATTCATCGCAAATCTCCTCATATTTTCCTTGGCCGTACTGAACTTGGATATTTTCTGTCAGGGTCATGTCGTTTTTCCGAATTACGAGGTCAGGGGTAGCAACTTTCTGCAAGTTTTCGGCTGCAGCGTCTGCAGCCGGTGCCGGGGGCTGGCAGTTATGGACAATGCATTGCTATTTCGAGCCATTTGGACCCGAAAATGATCCTCTGTTCCAGAGCAGATACTTCAAGCAGCACAACCCGGGGAATCATCCTTCTCTGAATGACACCTGTGTGCGAAAGGTGCCGCTATGCCAGATTCCTCCGGAATTGGTCGATGACGCCCTTAACAGGGGTTCAAAGCTCCTCGAAAGGTTCTGCGCGGGCGTATGGGGCGGTTATGGTGAGTGCTCTCGAGCGTCGCGAACGCTAAATACCTGGGAGTCGCTAGGAATCCGATAGGAACAGTCACAACGGTGTTACTGACTGAAGGCTTTCGATTTTCTATGTACAGGATACGCTATCCAACGGAACATACTGGCTCGACTGGGACGGGATGACTCCAACAAGGACTCGATGCTGTGGGATAAAAAGCAGCTACTGAGCAGTACCTACGAAGAAGGTAGGACACCGGCCAGGGCTTCAGGGTCGATAGAGATTGGTGCCGAGAATGAGGATCACTGACGTCCTGATCTAGGGACGAATGTAACTAATCACTTTGTGGTCGTTGGGAAGACCCCCAGATCCATCGTCCTGTGGGGAGCCCATTCCCCGTCGGAGAACCCAGGAGTCCCTCGGGACATGGAGAACCTCGCCGAAATTACGGTCGATATCGATATAGACCAGGGCGTGGCCGAGTTCAGGCTGAAAAACATCTTCTACAACGGCGTGGAGCGCACATCGAAAGACCTGTTTCCGCCACCGATGGTGTGGTTGCATTTCCAATACTGCAAATTATTGGTCGAGGCGGGGGTGAGCCACTGCAAGGCGTAGGTAGCTGCCGTGCATTGGTGCTATGGTATGCTCCTTACCTTCAAGCCGCCCAGGGGCATCCGTTCTTAATGACGTTGTCTCGAAAAGGTGTGCAACATCACCTCCAGTCTCTGTCAACCGTGTGTCACTATATCGTTTCAATTTGTATTATAATTGTATTATACCTAGGGCAGTATGACATTCCCCTTTCGTCACTCGCCAGAACTTCAGTTGAGCGTTCGAAACTAGTATACCGGACCACGATGGGAAACGAAATAAAGTCGCTGTGTATAGCATTGATTGGTTCCTCGATTTAAGGCTACGGATCCGTCCCAGGGGTGTCATATTGAGACTTGGATATGGCACGTACACAAATGCCCGCGAGCTCTGCGCTAAAGCCGTCGAGATATTTCAGGTGGATGACCTCGCCGAGGGTTAACTTCCGGATCGGGATACTGCGTATCAAACTGGGGACATTCTGCAACAATTCCATGTCAAGATTGGTGTCCGAATCGCGAGGGTTCGAGATGATATTGCAGAAGAGGGTCAAGGCGGCGGTGATGGCGTAAAAGAGGACGACCCTGGTTTGAGAGGCAACCGTCAGTTATGATCAGGCGTCAGCCGAATATTGGGCATCGGCACCCGTACCAAAAGCATTCCGGGCTCACCACAGGTAACACCCTGTGAAGATATAACAGCGTTGAACGGCTCGCAGTAATAGAAATCCTTGTGCTCGAGGCGATGCCGTCGGGTCTCGGTCTCGCAAGATCGGTCCCCAAGGTTTGGCATCTGCTGCTCGCTTGATGGATAACGGTCACACAATGATAGTACCCGAGTCTCAATATTACCGCCAGTGTGTTTAGATTGGCGCTCACTGGCGTTTCCCGGGAAAAGTATAAAGTCGGACGGACCTCCGCGGGGAGCGATAGTCGCCATTGCTCTAGAGTCTCATCGAGGCTTCGGATCCTCGATAACAACTCAGATACGGACTGCTGGACGGAATGAGCGGTATACAAGTTTTGGTGCACTTTTGATTTTAGCAGGGAGAGACGGAGATCCCACGGAAAGAGAGGAACCATATGGTCATCTATCTGGGGCAAGCTTTGTTGGATATTGATATCGTGCAGCCGCGCATAATCGGAGGGGAAAGTAAGTTCGCAATGTGAATCATTGATACACGGTGGTTGACCCGTCCTCAGGCATATGTCCTTGTCGAATGAATAACATAGCCAGAAGAGATCTCGGATGTGGCATCTTAAATCGCTTTTATCGTATGGGAGCAAAGAAGAGGGTGATGCCTTATTGGTGGGCACAGTATGGGCTCCCAGAGTATAAACAAGACGCGTCGCGATGGATAACGTCGCCGCTGCGGACTGGAGATCACCTAGAAAATATTGGAGTTGCACCTGGCCGTTCAATTAGGCGCCCAAAGAAGGCCATTGGTGGGGGTTTCCTCGGAGGTGAGGGAGCACGTGTACGCACCAGCATGATCAATGACTGGAGGCCGTCGACTGTCATCTTCTCAATTACCGGGGTGATAAAGCTTTGCACCGCCAAGGCATAGGACTGACAGTCCATAGCGCCGTGGATGTTGTCATCAAGGCCAAACAGGGATACAAGCGAGAGGAAGGCATACACACACGATTTGGCGCTCGCGGAACCGGGGGAACACACAGCACTGTAAGCGAGGTCCAGTGTTTTCCCGAATAACGACCGGCTAATGACAGGGAATACGAGGCTCTGAGAAGATGAGACATAGATCTGAACATATCTTTCCACGTTGACTCTACTGGGCAGCTCTGGGCGGGGAGGGGGAAACCGCCCGGGGTCCGTATACGAACGCAGCGGTTTCAGCCAATGGAGCTCCAGAGAGAATAGCTTATCAAATTTAATGCTTTCCCCGACCTGAGACTCAATCCATCTCTGACCTTCGTCCGAGAATACATGGTGTCCTCTGAGATAGGTGACGTTGTTCAGGAATGTATTTGCTGGTCTTAATGGCCATGTCGGATCAGGCGTTCGGTGTGATGGGTCTCCCAGTAGATTCTGCGCACGATGCCATATACTAGCGCTCAACCCCCCACTCGCGCTGGGTGCTGGTAAAGCGACGCGGTTCCTGGCCACGCATTAGCCGAGAACGCTCGATCTGATGTGTGATGTTAGACGGCACTTGAAGGACTGAGGGAGGCAACATGATGCAAAAGGAATCAAGGTGTAGAAAGAAATCGGCAAGGCGCATATCATCTCGAGTTGAAGTCATACCCTGTGTCGACTTGTCCCCGGATACGATTGAATGTACAGGCGAGATTATGATGCTTGCACCAATTACACTGCGGGAACTCTGGATCGCACTGGATCTGTCAATCCCGGAGACAGATCGTAAGCTTGGTCCCACGTCGTGTCCAATAACATATGGACATACCTTCTTCCTGAAGCAGGAGTCACATGCTCTCCGTCTCGGTGTTCGAGGTCTCTTCTGTGATAGTGGCGAGCGCCTGTTCTGTGGGCGGTTCCCGGCCATTGCTCACCTAAAAGGAAGAGTCATTACTCGCTTCAGGAACTTGCAGGACTCTGAGTGCAGAACAAGTGCCATGTGGCAATGTGGACAGAGCATTGACTGTGAAGAGATCGCCATCGACCTCCTGGGCCACTTATAACGTATTTCCCGGGCGAGCGGTCCACCCAGGCGAGCGGCCCATCTCTGTATTCCATATAAAATGGCACCCTTCAAGGCTTTGATATCTCAACCATGCTCATATATGCTATTTATGTAAGTAAGGTATTCAGAGTATATATAGTCTAGAGCATATAAATACTCTTTTACAAGGCCTTAAAACACCATTCCTCTCTCTTAATATCTAAAAAGCTAGTATTACCAAAAATACAGGTGTAATTTATGTTACCGAAGTATATACATATACTAGGAGGCTGTGGCTTATAAGTGTGATTCTATATGTCTATAATATTTCTTATACCTAAACTTAGACCCTCTAGATGCTTGGTTGTTGAGATATCAAAGCCTTGAAGGGTGCCATTTTATATGGAATACAGAGATGGGCCGCTCGCCTGGGTGGACCGCTCGCCCGGGAAATACGTTAATCGTTTCCGCTGAATAATCGGAGAGGATCTGGCCTTAAGCCCTCCCAAGAAATTTTAAACGGGCGGGCCCCAACTCTCAATTATGCCAAGACACGGGAATTAAAAATTAAAGAGAAATTGTAAAATATTATTGTGTATAAGATTAAAATTTTCAGATTCGTTTTCCCTTATTTTAGTAATTGTTGAATGGGTCCCAAATTCTTACTTGGCACAGCTGAATGGGTTCCGAATCTTCTCGAGGCCCATTCAGCAAGGCAATTGAAAACCTCTGCACACTTGGCAATCCCTTACCAAGTTTGATACGGAATTTCGGCAATGCACGGATGAGGACGAGTCCATCAATCGGAGCAAGATCGTATTTTATTGTCTACCTTGCTGGTATCTGATGGCCTGTCCTAAGATACGGAAAGAGTCTTGTGTGGCGCGATAGACCGCTTAATGCTGCTCCAACAGCTTATGCTGGCGAATGAACTCAGACCAGGTTTGAAGTGTCAGTACCGGGATCTAGTGCATGTCAGTACATGTCGTGTTTGATCAACGGTTCGTGTTGGGCGGACAGGAGAGAGCGTTGACCCACCTCCTTGGCTTGCACAAATTCGTCCCTTGCGTAGACATTTCCACACTTTTCAAAGATCAGCAACTGCTCGGTGAAGTCCAATGCAATGTCCTCCGACATGCCGTCACGGGACATGAGGAGCTGCTGGAATTCTCTGGCGCTGGAAGGGTGGTAGCGAGTTGGAACATTGTAGTCTAACCATTGCATTAGCACGATGGGCGGAAATGGTATTACTTGGGGTGACCCTACAATTGCCCAATTCAGCTAGCTTCTCGGCCTCGGACAGGGCTTGAGCCCAGAAAGCGATAGTCTTCGTGATGTAGGTTGAACCGGCTTCGACGACCAGATGGACGAGCTTGCCCGTGTCAGCGATAGCCACATTGGGCAGCACCGTGTTCGGGCTGTGAGGGAATTTGAGGGTGTAGATGCCCTCGTCATCCTGAACCGGGACATCCGTGAGCACTCAACAATTCCAAATCAGTCTATATCCGACCCGAAGTATATCTTACCTTGGCGGGCAGATACCGGCCGGGGTTGGTCAGCGTATTTTCAAAGTAATTGGGGAAAAGGATGGTAGTGGTCTTCGCCCACAAGTCGGGTTTCTCGGTCTTGATATACGCGGTAATCAAGCTCTTGCCCTTCCAGTGATGCACATTGAGGAACTGCCCTCCAGACAAGGCGACGGGGTCCGACAAAGCGCTCCAGACAAAGTGTTGGAGGGTGGTTGTCGCCGCGGCAGCATCGGCAATAGCCTTGCCCTGCTCAATCTCGGCCGGGGCGGACCGCTTCTGCCAAAAGTCGGTCAGTGCATAGATAATGTGTGCACCGGCGAAGGCCGCCGTAAGGACTTCTCGGCCGTCCTCCAAGTCGGCACGCTGGACCTCAACGCCGCGGGCAACGAGTTCTCGCGCCGCAGGCTTGGAAGGGTCGCGGGTGATTGCCCGGATATGATAGAGATCGGGATGCTTCAGGAATTCTGCAACCACGGATCCGCCCTGTAGTCACCAAGGTAAGCGACCTGCATAGCCCTGTGCCATGGTGGAAGACCTGCCTGAGAGCCAGTGGCCCCGATCACCAGGACATTCCGCATGGTAAACGTCGTCGTTTGTGCAGTTCAGTGTAAACTTTCGAGGTACCTCGATTGTATTCGGAGCTACTTCAGGATTGACAGCACTGGAAGACATATATATTTCTCGATATGGATGGTTCAGTGAACTACCAGATGAGACTGCCACCGCTGAGTCAGCGGTAGGGTGCAAGTGATCGACGATCGACATTCCCCTGCAAATTTGTTCAAAAAGGCTCTCTCTGAATCCCTCCGATATCCGACGCTCTGGAGAGCGGAATGCCACGGATCACTGATATTTCGTATCCTTTCAGACGACAACCAACGTCTTCGCCGTAGCTGCGCTCCGTTCCGCTTAATCATCGGTGAAGAATAACCATCTGTCATAAGAGGACGGTGAACCCAAGGAACCCACACGGGCACTATCTTTTCTCGGTTCCGATCCGAAGATGCGAGACCCGATAGTAGCCCATCCTGAGTGGAAACTGTATGCAACAACATAAATTCGGAGATTTCAGTCAGGCAAAGTGCGACCACTGTTGCGTGTCCGATTGGCCGCCCGTTATACTGTTTCCAAGTTCTCCAGACAGCACTATTGAGCTGCAGCACACTTCAAGATGAGCCGCGTTATTCTTGTCACCGGAGCTAATCGAGGTGAGAAATAAAATTCTCCTGGTATGGTGTATTCTGAGTTTAATTCAGTCTATAGGCCTTGGGAGAGGCCTCGTGACACATTATCTTGCGCAGCCGGACACCACTGTCATTGGAACTGTTCGGGATGTCTCCTCCGAGAATGCGAAAGATCTTGTCACGCTACCAAAGGGTGGCGGCTCGCGTCTAATCGTCGTGCCGCTTATCGCCGACAGCGCCTCAAACGCTGCAGAGGCCGTATCCGAGATCCAGACGCAGCATCACATCGAGCACATCGACATTGTCATTGCCAATGCGGGAATTTGCACCACTACGGCCGAGTGCTGGAAATGGCCGACTCGGACGTCCTTTCCCATTTTGAGGTGAACACGCTGGGGCTACTTAGATTGTTCAGGGCCGTGGCACCGTTGCTGCAGAAAGCCAGTACTCCCAAGTTCGCTTATATCTCCACGCTCCTGGCGAGCATTCATGAGATTGAACAGATACCCTCGTTGACTGCCGCCTACGGAATGTCAAAAGTGGCTGGAAATTATCTGATCAAGAAGATTGATGCGGAGAATGAGGGCTTGGTCGCTTTGGCAATCGATCCGGGGTAGGTTTGACATTCGCACCACCATACCACAGATATCGGAATGGCTGACACCGGCACCCTTTTCTCTTAATGATTAGGATGGTTCAAACGGATATGGGTAGTCGCGCTGCGCAAGCCCATGGACTGGAGAAGGCTCCGGTGATCGTCCAGGATACCGTTCACGGAATTACAAGTCAGGTATGAGGCAATATGTCAGTTATGACAAATTAAGGACTGCTAGTTAACGCCTTTGTAGATCGAGGCAGCCACAAAGGCAACTACATCCGGTCAATTTGTGAACTATAACGGGGAAAAGGTGCGCTGGTAGATGAGGGTTGAAAATACCAAATGCTTCTTATGCCTGCCTGGGTAGGACCTATAAATTGATTGTTTTACCACATAGCATGTGGCATATTCCTCCTGTTTCTACACGGGAAAGGATGTTGTTTATGTAGAGTTTGGTCTCAGCCTTACTCTTCGAACTTTCTGAATATGATAATTAAGCACGTGAGACAGGAAATCTATGAATCGTCCATATAAATTAGAATTGTGACAGCAGATATCAGTGAATGTATGTGGGAGAGTATGGAGTACATGAAATATATGTATATATATTATACAGCAAGAAGAGAATGCTAGGATAGTTCAACAAAAGGACAACCTGCCCATGACGCATCCTCCCCAAGATACAGCTGATAACTTGCCCAATTGCGCTTTAGTTTGCATAAGCTCTCGGGATTCATACATCAACCTTGAACTCCACAAGATGCTTGGAAAATGGAAAGCTTTCGATACCAACCCTGGTGAACAGCGGCTGGCGATGAGGACACCACTTTTTCAAGTAGCAAACCATATGGTCATGTGCTTCGTCCTGCGCACTGGCCAATCCAACAAAGAATGCGCGTAGCTTCACAACATAATCCCAGCCAGTACGACGCATTCAAAAACTTGTGAAAATTAAGGCTTACAGCCATATAAATGCACTTGCAAAACCTACAAAAAAGGCAAAAGTCATGGTGCAAGATTTGTGCAATGTCTCCGCACTCGATGGCGAGGGTGATGGACTCGCTGACGAAAGATTCGTCCTGGTAGCGGCATAGGTGATATTGACCTGCTTCTCTGTCACGGCGATAAGAGAGGACCCAGTAGTCGGGTCATTCTCTACATCAAACTCAAGTGAAGCAGAGCCTCCAGGTGACGACACGCTCGCGTACTTGACACCCTCACCATCGACCACATATAGCTCAGTAATGTCTTCGCTGTTGCCAGTTTTGAATTGATAGCAACCTCTCATTAACTTACCCAGCCGGAGGGCAATATAGGATGGCATATTAGTGTTAGTGAAGGCGCTTGCATTCCGTAAAGTGTCGTTATATCCAGCTGGGTTGATGGTGGACGGTTGGCTGCCGACCGCGGATGTCGTTTCTGGGGTAGGCCGTTTGCCTAGACCAAGATAACCACATCCTCCTTCAATTTAAATGACAAATTTATCGTCTTCGGAAAGAACACAGCGTTTTGGCGAAATTCCGAATTTGATGGCGCTGTGTGCCGGAGTTCTGACACCAGGGAATGCATTTACAGCTGGCACCATCACCACCTTCATCGGTGAATGTTGAAGACAGTCATTATTAGTGATGGAGCTGGGAGCTCCTGTAAGAGCTAGTCGGGATTACCGTGGCGATATTGAATGTACCTGGTGGATATTCGTCACATTCTGTCCTATTTTCTGGTTCAAGGTACCCGTTGGCTCCTGAGAAACCACCATTTCGTCAGCTAGCGATCCATCTGGCAATGTGTGGATGGGGGAATAATAGACAACTCATACCTCTACAGAATCCGTCACAACCAGCTTTTTTTCTTCGCTGCTCGTAACCTGCATCCTTTGATCACTTCCCTGTCAACTTCTCCGCGACCATGGTCCGCCGGTTGTTTTTGTTGAACATTCCTTTACAAGATTGTTTAAAATTCCAGCTGATAGACTGTAAATTTGTTTGCGAAGATATGCTCCTCTTACCTTTACGCATACTCTCATCAAGTCTAGCACGCCGTCCGCAGAAAAGCAGTGACAATCATAGGTGAGAAGAAGTCATCAAATGCGATGTAGAGAAATTAACCGATGAGTCCTGGCTGCCTAACATAAACTGAAATTAAATATCGCTGTATAGGTTTGATACACTAAGGAGGGCTGAGGTCGTTGTCTTGAATCTGGATGTCGGCACCTCGATCCCGCAGCATCTGGATCACCTCTTTGTTGCCGCGCAATAATGCGGCCTGCTGGACATTGCCAAACATCCCTCCAACGTCGATGTTGGAGCCTCGATCCAGCAGCATCTGGACCATCCTTTGACGGTCGTAATGTACTGCAGCATGGAGTGCATTCCCAAAATATCGATTCCGGGCGTTCACATCGGCACCTCGATCTAGTAGCATCTCGACTACCTTTTGATGGCCTTGTAATGATGCCATCAGGAGTGGACTGCCACTATCTCCTCCGTGAGCATTAACATCAGCACCTCGATCTAGCAACATCTGCACAATCCTTTCTTGGCCTTGTACCGATGCAGCTTGAAGTGCAGTGCCGTAACGGCCTCCTTTGGTATGGATATCAGCACCTTGATCCAGCAGTATCTGCACTACACTAGCATAGCCTTCATATGATGCGGCTTGAAGTGCATTGCCAAAGTCTCCACCGTATTCGGATTCTCCTGCTTGAGCGTTGGCATCGGCACCTCGATCTAGTAGCATCTGGACTATTTTTCGATGGCCTTGTAATGATGCCACCAGGAGTGCATTGCCATACTCTTCTCCGTGGGCGTTGGCATCGCCGCCTCGATTTAGCAGCATCTGCACAATTCTTTCGTGGCCTCTATACGACGCGGCCTGGAGGGCAATGCTATAAAATTCACGTTGGGCGTTGACGTCGACCCCTTGATCGACCAGCTTCTGCACCACCTTCTCGCATATGGGCAGACAGCCTGCCCGCGCAGCAATTGCGAGCAGGTTATGCCCGCTGTCATTTACACGGAAGATATCAATCTCTGCGTGTTCCCACCAGTCCCATACAATAGTAGCTAGCGAGAAACTACACATGGCGATAACGGCGGCATCACCGGGGCAGAGCTCACGGAAAGTAATTTTTGCCTCTTCAGTCATGTAGTGTCTCAAATGGGGGGTGTCGGAAAACTTGTCAAAATCATTGCAAGTTCTTTGATGCCATCTCTGGTATTGCACGCTACTCTTATTTGGCGACCCGAGGAAGGTTTTCAAAAGAGAAGCCAGCTTGGTCGTCTCGATGCCTCTTGCCCCATTGACATGGTGGGCCCAAGAGTGCCGCATGTATATATGGAATGGATGAAGAGTATGGAAGCCGTCATCCGATCGTGCTGTCTTTTCGGGTCCCTCTGTGTTGCCTGGCTTCTCTGACTCGAGCTCCAAATTGACCTCCAGCTTGGCGTCCAGTTCCAAGTTATCATGTTCATACTTCTTGACGAAATAGGACAGGCAAATGCTGGCCGCGTGGTAATGGGCATGGGAAACAGACCAGTCTTTCTTGGTTTCCAAATATTCCCTGACCGAGAGATGCGGAAAACGCCACACCTTGAGCTGAGAATCCAGCGCAAGGAAATTATTACAAAGAGATACCAGACCTTGCTCATCCACTGTGTCATTTAAGGGCAGCAGATCTCCGTCCGGGCTCACACGAATAGCAGCCAGAATCTCGACGGTGCTCATCGGTTCGGATGCGGACATCACCCATCGAAGAGCTCGCTTTGTGATGGTCTGTTCAGACTTCCCCTGGTTTTCAATCTGTCGCCAGACCTCGTCGTATGCCTTCTGAAGATCTTCTGGGAGGTTCTCAAGGCGCTCCCAGACACCTGCACGGGACTGGCACTTCGCAATCTGGTGGATCTGCAAAGCGGCCCACTGGAACATGCCCTGGCAACGCTCTAGCAACCTTCCGATGATGTCGGGCTTCAGGGGTTTAAGAATGGAGCAGTCTTTGTGAGCCTGTCGAGTTCTTCCTGAAGGAATTTCTTAAGGTCATCGAGAGAGTCGTCTGCGCGAATGCAAACGTTGGGCCTGCTTTCTAACTGATATTCGATGTTTGGGTCGGGCCGGCTTGAGATAAAGATCCTCACAACGTGGTTGGATTCCGATAAGAACGACTGCAGTGCCTCTATTAGTTGATACCGTGAGGCCGGATCACACTCGTCCAAGGCATCAATCACTAGCGTGGTTCTCGGGTAGATATTCAAGGAGGCGAGGATTTGTTCCTTGCACTGTTCCGAGCGGAAGTTCGTGCCATTCTCCCGAGCCTTTTTACAAGACCCTTGAAGTTTTGCCTGCATAGCCTCAGGATTACTTGCAGTGGTCGAAAGCTGACGTACAAAGCTTTGGAGAATGGACAGCGGCTGCGAGCGTGATTCGTCCCGGCTGCAGTAGAAAAATGCAAAGCCCTCGTCATTTGGAGGCTTGCTGGTTTGGGCGCGGACCAAGTCGATGACGGCAGATGTGAGATATGTCTTGCCGGTACCCGGATTCCCTTGTAGCCAGAAGAGAGCCGACGACTTTGTCGACTCCCAACTACGGAAATCCTTGTGTTGGAGCAGCCACTCACCCGTGCCAGGGGTTCGCTGCTCTTTCACGTTGTCGTGGTGCTTCCCAAACGGAATGGGCGAAATCCACTCCAAGAGCTCAATGCGCTCGCTTTCACTCATATGTTTCAGGAGATGGTGCACGCCCTCGTCCACCCGAGCCATTGGGGCCTGCAGGGCATCCAGCATTGCATTCGCGCGTTTGTCTGAGTCGGAACTGCGCTGGCTCTCGCATGCTTGAACGTCTCGGAGGAGCTCATCTTCTTGCTCACCAAGGCTCGAAAGATTGTCCTTCGCCTTGCCCGGATTTACAATAGCTTCAAGCGTGCGTCTAGCAGTGTTTGCGGAGAGGAGCTTTCCTGACTCGGCCAACAGATCTAGAGCAGTTTGGTAGATCGTTACAAGTGCCGCCTCAAGGTTTGTTTGTACCGGCGACAGCTCGGCCTCAGGATCCTGGGGCAGGTAGACATTTTCATAGACCTGGCCGCGACTGGTAATGCGGACAACTCTTTCTGTGGTGGCAAGCAAGGCACCCATCTGCTCGCTCTCGTTCACGGGAATCTACAAGATGCCATGAGGTCCAGATCAAAACGTAAAAAGAAATTGAGGTTAGCCCACCTTCATCATCGATTTGACCAGGTCCCATGGTAGACTCGCTTGGGGTGGCGCAAACTGCACAGCAATGTCGCCGGCCTTCTCCAGCCAGCCAACGATCTGCGTGGTATATTCTCGAAGAACAATCTTTTTACCACCCACATTGACGTTCCAGAACTTCTTCTCGCACTCTTCCTGTTTTCTGTTTACCTCTCCTACGAGATCCTTGATGCTGGACTCCATAGATCCGGACTTGGGATTGCCGAATCCCATTTCCTTCAGGACAGCTTGCTTGGCCGGAGATAGTTGATTGAAAGCGTCCCGCCAGCGGTCCTTCACCGGAGGATCTCGCTGAGGGATGGATCCCTTCTCAGGTTCTTCGTCTGGGGTGGTAATCGTTTCCGTGACAAGGGGAGCCGCGCTGGCCGATTGTTCCGATGGGACTGCGGCTGAAGAAGCGTTATTTGCATTTTCCGGCTTGGGCTCGGTCTTCACAAAATCAGAAATGGAAACATTAGCAGATGAACAATCAAATCCCCTAATCTCCACTTACTTGTGCTTTTGGAGCATCCTGGCCGCTTCTCCTCTTTGAAAATTTGGCCTTGAGGCCACTGAATGGGTTGCAGGAAGGCATCGGATGCAGTGTAATATGGAACTGCTGTTCAGCTGATGGTTGAAGACGGAGGAAACGCCTTCAAGCGATGGGAGGAATTAGAGATCGCCTGTTCGGCCAACATACATGGACTCCACCCGATGGTTGCACAGCTCGGGAAATGATGTACCTGATCTCCAAACAATTGACCCGTTTCGGCATACAGCACACTGGATCTCAGCGCAGCCCAATGATGTTGCTCTACAACTCGTCAGTGGCTGGTTTTGCCCCGCACTAAAGCTGCTAACAAAGCATGAACACCACATACATCAATTACGAACTGCTTAGTAGATTTTTCTACCATGTTATCAGACTAGATGACGAACAATGCTACAATATATGATACAAATCTTCACTCTCGACACACCAATTATCTATGCCCGAGGCTCACGCTCAACGCGGAGGGTGAGCCTAGGGCACAGATAATAGGATGCTTTATATCAGTAGCCTTTAGCTCTCCATTCCCCACATTTCAAACATCATCCAAGTATTCTTCGCGACATGGGATTGCGTTCAAACGAACTTCTGCCTTCCATTAATATATTTCTAAGAGGTGTCGATATAAAATATTTCAAGCGAAACAAAATTTCAATTACACTCTTTCTCTGGCACAACCGAATCATGACTAGCTGCCTAGTGTAAGTTAGAAAAAAAATGAAAACCCTGTTTATCTCGGGTAGTTCAACACCTTTTCAAGGTTCACCCGAGTAACAGAACTGGAATATATCAGCAGTTGTTCCATACAAACCAACAGGCGGCATATCCTTCACAGGGCCTATAGGTTCCCCCTAATGATCAGGCCTAGCTAGGCTGATCATAACTAACTATAGTTAGATTTAGGTTGGTTTCGGGTTGGTTAAAACGCTACCCCTCAGTGAATTTCAATGGTTCTTAGATTTCAATTTCTCCTACCTTATGCCCAGGGCCTATTAAACATGCTTATAGGAAATTAATTATTTTTATATGAAATATATAGTAATTATAGTCATTTTAATATATATCTAAAATATCAATTCAATATCTATAGGGCTGAATAGGTGGTGGTTAAGAAATCATTTCCAAACCATGATGGTTGTCAACTATCAGTTACATATATATATATCTACACCACTTTCATACTAACCTATGATAGGGATGATCATTCCCTTATATCTTAATAACCACTAGGTATTTTCTAATAATTTAAATATTATTGGATAGCTTGAATTAGGGGCTATTTAATGATATCAAAATTATTAGAATATCTATAGAATTTAGTGATTTCTAGGTAAAAGAGTGCGGGTTGGTTAAATAGGTTAGTTAAAACTATAAAAACTATAACCAGTGGTTTTAACTAAACCTAAAATAGTTCTGGAGTAGAGAAACTGAAGCTGAAGTGATTCCTTAGGCTTACCCCCAAACCTGCACTGCTGCGAGTTCGGTGAGGTTTGGTTTCGATTTTTGCGGGTTGGTTATGCCACTCTACTCTGTGATTAAGACAGTCAGAGGCAGCATGATAAGATGAATAGAATGAGACCTGGATGGTCCCCCCTAGATGGTGGGGGCAGCCGTCCCGGGGCGATGCAGTCGCCAGGACAGGGGGTGCCGAACCCCATACCAGGGCAGCCGGCGGGGCCGCCGGGAGCTTGCTCGTAGGCTAGGGACTGAACCCAAACTGCTGCGAGATCAGTGAGGGTCAGATTCAATTTTAGCAGTTTGGTTATGCAACTCTAGTCCCAGCACGGATAGCGGAGGTCCTGATGAGGACTGTGGGAGCTTGCTTGTAGGCTCTGGCCTAAACTAATTGCACATCAATCCCATATCCAGGACAATGAAGCGCCTATGTGATGAGAAATTCTTTTCTTGACCCCTAATGTGGGTAAAAACTCTTCTCTTTGCCTCCTGCTTCCTTCAAGGCAGCGGTAAAGGGCGTGCGGTGTTTTCGCAAAATGAGGCTATGAGACGGCATATGGCGGCAACAATGACCATGGCACTCGAATGCAGAGAACACATTATCCAGTCTTGAGATCTTGCGTCGGGGATCGGCTCTCAATTCACCTGTACTGCCGTGGAGTCGGGGCAACTCTAATAAACCGCTGACGTAGCAACGTACGGATGAATTTTTGAGGCCAAGAACTTACTTCAATACGTCCTTCTTAGGCCCTGCCAGCGCTGCTAAACGTTAGGTTGGTGTTGTTTAAGCAGCTATGTGTTAGCTGCACTGGTTCTTCCACTTAGAGCAAAAGAACTAGTCACAGGCATGAACAGGTTTATACACAACTATTACTGCAGGCTCTTGGACAGGAAGGTTGGGGTAAGTGCGCATGTCTTGAATCAGCTTTTGGACTTCCTAGATATATCATAGAAGTAGTGTGTATCTATCTCCTGGACATTCTATACGAACAAAAAGCCACAGCTATGACAATATTTTCGCATTAAACCACAAGTAACTCCGACCAGCATTATCAACAGAAAGCAGATAGCCAAATTTTTGACCTCCACAGTATTCAAATTAGTCGCCTCGAGTTATTCGAAGGTCGACCACCAGTTCTCCTCCCTACACCGTGCACCCCCACATCGTGCCTTCTAAATGCCCCCTGGGAACCGTAGCTCTTCGGACACTTTTTGCAACGGAACGGCTTTGTTAGCGCTGCGGGACTTGGCTCTGGGCTCTGCTGCTGCGTTGGCTTTGGCTGGATTGGTTGGAAGGGGCTCTGAGCAATTCCACTTGCAGACGGCGCATGCGCGATTTCAGATGCAAAAAGTGTGGTATCTGACGGGTTCACTGGGTTCCTGTTGGGCTAGTTAGCGAGTTACTGTCTATAAGTGGTCAGGGTACAGAGTACGAACAAATTGCTGCTCTCAGCAATGGCATAGAAAGGCCCTCGGTCAACGACTTGGCAGGCCAGCTGGGTAGGAATCTCTTGCACAACCCTAGAGGTTGCTGCGGTGGCCAACTGAGTGGGCGACTGGAGCAGGGCAGAGGAGTTGTAAACGTCGGATCCCAGCGCTGCATCGCCAGTCAAAGAAGACGGGACCTCAAGCTCGTCACTGAACGCTCCAACCATCGTAGTAGGCTGGGGGCATACAATAGGAGCAAGGCCCCGGTCAGCCCAGTGAGAAGCCCACTGGTGCAAGGCTGTGGACTGATAGGGAAGGGTAGGGCTTGGAAAAAATCCAACAGGAGCTTCATGCTGTTCAATCGAATAGGACGGGGCGCCCATCACCTCCGGGGGATATCCCGAGAAAGAGCCTCGATGATACTCAGATTGCGTCGTGCTCTGGTCAATGGAAGCTCCCCGGACATTAGAGCGGTCCTCGCGCCAAACCTCATGATTAAATTCGTCACCACCACTACCCACAACCAGTATTAGCTCTCAACTGTCCTCCACTGGTTGTTCCCTCATCCAAACGTCATCAGGAGTGTCGAAGATAGACTCCTGGCGGGGAGAAGCATATGGCTGAACATTACGGGTCATAATGCAGCAAGACAGGTGGGGATTGTGCAATGCATTGCAAGGCTATTTCGCGCGCGTGATGCTTGATACGTAAATACCCGGAAAGGCAATTCCTGTCCCATAGATATCCCATATATTGGGTTTGCTTCCCTTTTGCTGTCTCCCCGGCTCGCGCTAGCCTCGTTGTCCTTGGCGACTTTTCCTGTTACCTGAACGCCTTTCCGAGCTGGACATTCACAGTGGATAGCCATGCTAATCCAACTGCCCCCTCAAAACACATTTCTATTGCGGCCATTAGGAAGCGTTCATTCACGTCGCCTTTGGTATTGTAATCATTTGCTGCTGATGTGATTGAGGTATCTAGAGAATCTTTGTCAGTAGCAAGATCACTCACAAATCCAGGTTGGCGCTGCTGAAATTGAAGTTATTGGAAACTTTGTATTCTGGGTGCTTATTATACAGAAAATCAGCCCCGCCAATGTAGAGTCGTGGACACAAGGCCTACCGTGGATGGCATATCGTCCATTAGTGGTGGATTGTGAAAAACGACCGAGATGCGATCGAGTCGGCTGAAGTAGGGAGAGACGATTGAGTATAATAACCGAAGCAAAAACTGACCAGGTGAGAAATAAGGGGAGGGAAGGACGAGGGTGGTGGTTTCAGTGGACACGACGAGTCTCTGGGTGCGATCGGGGGTATTTATAGCCTTGCAGATGGTGAGTGACTGCCTCGGGCAGTTCTTCAGACTCGTGCAGGACGCGAATACTCGGAAAGAGATGACCAATATGGTTGCAGAGAAACGCATCAGGGTTGACCGTGCATAAGGACAACTTGGCGATGCAACCGGTAGACCAATCTGAAATTCAAGAATCCGACATTGGGGCTTGGGATTGGGTCATTCTGCAGTTGATGATTGCACCATGTAAGCAGCACAAACTTTCAATAACCAATCCTGTGGCTAAAAACCGAACATTCTTAGTCGCTGTGTTATAGCGACTCAGCTGACCGCGCGTCAACGCAACACCTCGCCAGCCTTCGTGGCTTGTCATCTCGCGCCATGGGCAGTGGGAGTTTCCTGAATGGACGAATATGATGTTCGACAATTGAACACAATCTCAATGGCGTCAGCGCAGGTCGCTGGAGCGTGTTCGATTTCGCCAAGTAATCTGGCAATATGTCTGATTTTAGGTATACATGCGCTGACGCCCGTTGGAACACAGCTTGGGGTTTAAGTCATTGCTGGACTATATCCATAAGTTGCTGGTGTGTTCGAACTGACATGTGGCTGTGATAATGCAAACTGCGAGCGCAGGAAGTAATGTAGGAATGGAAGTAGGCATCAAGTTCTATCTCATGGGGGCGCTCGGTTTAGAATTGCTGGATGATTTGTTGAGGGCCCTAGGGACATTCAGCTATTAGATGCTTTGTTGTAGCTGTTGGGGACTGTTAAAAATAATATTATTAATGGAAGCCATTTCGGATCGGCTTCAAGGGTAAAAGTGCCTGCAGTTGAACTAGTTATAGCAGGACTGTGACTAACAGACTGGATTTAAATATCAATATTACAGCTACTATCTGAATTTGCTACATGCCATTGTTGGTATATCTTTTACCTTACCCTCCTTTTTCTTTTGCTTTGACTGCACAAGTCCCACTATATAGATTACTTGATCCTATTGGGTTTCCAGAGCTTATCTAGATCATTCTCTAGAGCTTAAATGAGCTAGCAGAAGTGAAAACCCACTATCTTAACTTATTCTAATCTACTGCCCAAGCTGTGTCTTGTCTAGAGAGTCTAAACCAGGCCCTGTAATATATGAGATGAAGTTAGGAACCAGCTTCTTGAAATCTACTATCTATATAGCATTTTAAGTAAGTTGCTGGCCATTAGCTAGTGTTAGGCCCCCTACAGTGGCGCGAGGAAATTGCTCAGGTATGAAGCTGATGTCCCTCCTGCGCACGGAAGCGTAGGTGCATTTCATGCTGTAGTGACAGCTCACAGCACTTGACAGCACCTGACCGCCAGTGTAACGCATACTAAATCCAGAGGGGCTCTTGAAGAGCTCCTCAGTTGAAAACTGAATGTGACCCTTACTGGGCGATGGTATATTATGCGATAATTTTTAATTTCCCCCATTCGTGATTGGGTATGAAGTCTCTGATTGCCTTCCTAGGACGAACAGATTTCGGAAGCTGTAAAATATACCGCGAGCAACTCGGCTTTACAGTTCCTTCCTTGACACTTGGGATTTGTCTTGCTCAATTAATGATTCACTCCTGGCCCCAGTCCAGTTTCAATCGGTCATTGCTAATTCGGTACTCCCTCAGCATTTTCAGAACGTCTTCTACCTTAGTCGCCTGGGTGAGAATTCCCGCGTTTTCCGGACTCACTAAACCTTCCGCCACAGAGGCCCGCACCCACTGCAGGATTCCGTCCCAGTAACCATTGATGTTCAGTAAGACCACACCGGCCTTGTGAATCCCCAGCTGGTTCCAGGTGGTCATTTCCATAAGCTCCTCCATGGTACCGAACCCCCCGCTAGCGCGACAAAGCCCGAGCCGGGACCTCCCTCGAGGACTCTCTGAGCCATTAATCGCTTGCGGGTGTGCATGTCCGGAACAATGGTCACTAGGCCATAGTCCGACTCTTCAATCGAGTGCGACACAACGCGCTCCGCCGCCTTGCCTAGCCTGTTTGGACTAGAGTCCTTCGTCGTACCTCTTTGACGGTCGATATCTTTATAGCCCTCCTCAACCTCGACAAGTGCCTTGGGGATAATGCCATGGACAGCCTGTGGGCCAGATAATGATACTAGGGTTCTGGCCAGCTCACCCATGATACCCACGGTGCCACCGCCATAAACCAGCTGAACATTATTCTTATGGAATTCATGCGCGAGAACGCGAGCCGCTTCCAAGTGGTGGCCAGATTTATCGGCCAATGAACCGCAGCTGAGTATGAGTATTAGCGACGGCGAGGAAAAGCTCAAGGGGAATTGTGCGTAATTTGCTCAAGTTAACCTACAAAACGCAGACGACCGTTCGTCTTTCTTGTTGCGCCATGACGGAGTCAACTATGCAGGATCGCAAGATATCGACGCACGAAAAGCTAAGGGAGATTTTTAATGGGAAACTAGACTATACTCAAAACGGAAGGATTGAGCGGGGATTCGTCGTATTTGTCGTATTCGTCGTGTATTTTCGTACAGCGCTAGTCTCGAGGAGGCAACTGCCGAGGGATTAGCGTTTGTGCGATGAGACTAGGCCAGACTAAGCAAAGAGAAAGAGTCATACATGCAACTTGATATTTTGTAGTCTCAAATGTGATTGATTTCCTTTCAAGACAAATCTCTGTTCATTTACTCTTCCCTACCGCTTATCCCATGCGAAATAGCCTCTTATAATTAAACCTTTAGTTACTCTGTACCCTGCTTTCATGGCACTAGATTCCCATCAACCTATTAGCGTTGACATCAGCCTTCGAAATGACCATGACACCAACGGCACCTTTATGTCATCGTTCACAACGGGAGATATCATTGAAGGAGCCGTTTCCCTCTTGGCAAGCAAAGATGTATGTTCGATAACATTGAGATATCTTTCATAGGTTAGCAGATTCACTCGTGCGCACACTATCCACTTAGAGAAGGCAGTCACTCCTGACAGGTGGATTGACAGGACAAGAGACAACAAATCTACGCAGCAGCAACCCTAGCAAGGGACACCTTCAATTCCAAAAGTTCGAGCAACAACTCGACGAGTCTGCTCTTCCAGACCGGCGCATGTTGAAAAAAAAATAAAAAATGTCGATTTCCTTTTGCCTTTACAGTCGTTGATTATCTGCCTGCCTCTTCCTGCCATCACCCCACCGTCAATTCTGTCGTGAGAACCGCTCACTTACAACCTCCCCCCACTTTTGGAGACGCCACTGTCTCTGGGTTCGGAGGTAAACTGCGCGATGATTTTGCCCCTTCGACATGCCGAATCGCGTATGCTATTCGAGTCAAGCTAAATCGCCTTGCTATTATCTCTGGAAAACAAGCAACTATCTTATCGAAAGAAAGGAAGGTGCGAATAAAGCCAGCAGTGGATGAGGCACCGCCTCTAGTAAATATGAGTACCTTCCATCAAGAGTACTCTTTGCATCATCGGGAGATCATTCGTGATCCTCGATCAAAAGAAAGCCTTGGTGAGCTGGCCGTGACATTGGAGCAGCCAAAAAGCTTTCGACCTCCACTTCGGGACCCACATAGTCTGGTTAGCCAGGCTGTCCGATTCACGCTTGGCTATACACCAATAGATCCCAATACCGCCAGCTCAAATTCGTACGAGGAAAATTAACGAGCACCACCTTTTACAGCGCTACATTTTATAATGACTTCCCGACAAAGAAAAGAGACTTCTTAGGCCGTCCTCTAAACTTCTGCGAGACGAAATTCCCGCCGTTCGAGTACACCATCCCGCAACTGGAGTGGAAGCAGGACGAAACAGGAATCTATACTGCTATCCTGTTGGTACCAGTTATACTCTCGCGAGAGAACTTTATTCCCACCTTTCATTCCTGCCTCATGTCGCGGATCTATAAGCTGAGTTTCTGGTTTGCTGTTCACAAGGCAAAACCATTTTCTTTGAGAACTCCGATACAGATCTCGGCTGAACGAGATGCTTCGGCATTGCCATCATACAACGCATCAGTAGGAGTGATCGAAGGACTCGGACGTCAATCAGGGTACCAGTCTCTTTGATACAAGAGATGTGAAATATTCAGTCTGAACGATTGGATTGGTTCCATTGTGTTAGTGCCCAACACCTAATGACCGCTGCCCCCGGTTATTGAGAAATGGGCATTTTTCTTCTCAACTTCGGGTTAGCATACTGATAAAGACACAATTTTGGTTTCTTCTCTGAAACTGTTACAGCACCCTGATTTATGATTTATATGCCCAGTGCAAATCGTAAGCAATATGTATAAGTAAGCTCTCCCCACAGATTACGCCCATTAACGTAATCGGTAAGCGAGCGGATCACGCAACCGAGCGGATCACCAAACCATAGAATTTGGCCGCGGCCGAAATTGGAGGCTATTTTGAACCCCTAAAACATGATCATATTACTAAATCTAGTTATTCTTGCGCTGCGGACATTGCAATCGCTTATGGCCTAGAATATGGCAGTTACTGCAGCGTGGGGGTGCCCGTTGAGGGTGTTGTTCTGTATCTACTGCCTGCTCTGAAGTAATAGATGGGATAGCTTCAGCAGCCTGATTCCTGTGCTGAATGAACTCCTGCCCTTCCTAGATAGAGAATCCCTCTGTGGCTTCTATCTGCCTCCTAGATTGCTTCTGATTTTGGACCTGCT